TAATTTGCAGGCTAAAACAATTCAGGATGAAGAAGTGCAGCGAAAACAAGCTGAGGCAGGAAGGCTGTGATCAGATCCTCCCCATCGCCTGTTCATTTCTTTACAGTATTGTCACAACTGATACCTTGAGTTACATGCAAAGAGAGCAGTCAGACATGTTTCCTACAGTTAGACATGAAGCATTTCCTCTGAGTGATGTTCAGACTGGGAGAATGGAGGACTGGGGTCTTTACAACTTCCACATTGGACACAGTCCTAGTATAAGAATAGTATCTGTTGTTGACACATTATGCTATTGAATAGTGTAAATACAACACACACACACACTCACACAACCTACTCTAACCCCTCCCACTTCACACATACAGGACAAATGAGAAAACCAAGTTGTGCTGTCAGTACAGCCTCAAACAATGTCCTGGGTGATGAGGTTGAAATAAAGACAAAAATATATTCTCTTTAAGGCAAACAAAACATAGAAAGCAGCTTTTAAGAGTTATGTCCAGAGTGAGGGAGGGAGTCAGTTGATGTACCATCTATATTTAAGATTTCCTGCAGTGTGCAAGATACCCACCACCAATTAGACATGGACTTGAGCACCTACATTAACAGAGGGTTCCCCTTCTCATCTCACCTCATTTTTTGTTTTAACAGTGAGATAAAACGAATCATTGCTTGGAGTAAAGAAACTGAAGGCAGACCAAAGGAGGGGTTTGGAGTAAAGAGGATGAAAAGAAACATTGCATCCCGACAATACATTTTTTTTAAAAAAGGTAGTCCAATGCTGCCATGTGTGTGCATGACGTATGATAAACTATGATGAAGAAAAAGAATGAATGGTTTAAGCCAATTAAATAAGATGGAAATGAGATTTTTTGTGGTCATCTGGAGAACCACTATATAATTCAAATTTATAAAACTGTGCAATTTGAAAATGAACAGTCCATTTCACAATAATTTTCATCATCGTTATGTCAGCAGTGGTATGCTTTAGAATACAGTGAATATCATTTGTTAACATTTTGGAAAATGTTGTATTTTCAGTCTAATTGAGTTCCTTACAGAAACAGAGTTGTGTTACAGAAGGAATATATTTATTGCAGATGAGAAGGTGGAGGGTATTCTGTCCATGAAACAAACTGAGGTAGCTTTATGTTCACTAATATATATATATATATATATATATATATATATATATACACACACACACACACACACACTAGTTAATGAGATTGTGGTGAAAAAACAAAGGCTACACTGGATTTTAGAACGACTGCAAATAAACATACATAAAATGCTTTGACATCCCTTTTAAAATATAATAAGGCTGCATTTACACAGAGTTGGCTACAGAGAGGAAATCTGCTTTTCAACCTTCAGTCAGACTTTCTCATGATAAGTCCATGATAATTCTGTTTGTTAACAACTGTCTGGCAAACAAAGAGGTCAAGTATGTACTGTCTTTTGTTGGGTCTTTGTAAATAATATAGTATGAATTGGCGCTATATAAATAAAATTTAATTGAAAGTGAAATCTTGTATGAATGTATAAAAATAATGGCAATGCTTTCAGGGAGTGTACATTTTTTTAAAGTCCAGTGTTGGCAGATAAACCTGCTGAAGACCTCTGCTGGTGCTATCTGCTGTAGTCTGCCCAGTGTGATACTGACACTTTCAGCTCTCGGCCTCCTGTCAGTTACAGCATATATATCATGCCAAAATTTATTAAGAATGAGAATGAATTTGGTTTGATGGCTTCCTAAACATCTTTATTTGGCCAAAAGAGGTGAGTATGAGCTTTTGCAGTGCTGTCTAAATGCATTCTTGTACTATGTCTAACAGTATTGTGCCATCCTGATATCTGTGCTTTTTCTGCTTAAGACATTTTTGTGTCTATATTACCCACAATGCAAATTGACCGTTTAATTGGAAACTCAGGTGTGTCATGCTAGTGTTGGCTGGTGGCTCAAGTAGCCTGCAGCCTGCAGCAGAGCTCACTGGTAACTTTCTAACTCCACACCAACACATTCTTGTTGTTTTCAAACTTGTAGTCTTCAGCCCTAATTGATGCTGACTCAAGTGACATCACATGAGGCAATTTATCAAATCTCATGTAGCTTCCAAAAGGCTGTATATAACTCATGTATCTTACTACTCCCCAAGACATGTAGACAGACTTTGACGTGTAAAAAAAAAGCCCAAAATAAAGTACAAGGCAAAACTGTAAAAAGAGCTGTGGTCAAAAAAACTGAAGCAGCCACTAGTACAGCAAAACAGTACACAAACTGATGAGAACACACACTCACACACACAGTGTGGTGGCAAGAAGGCAAAGAAATACGCCTAAAAACTGTGTATTTAAGTTATGTGACAAACGCTTCAATATGCAAAGTGTTTCATGAGTCACAACTGAAAGAATAATGAAAGCAGCTGACTTTAAACTTATAAAACCGTGACAAACTTCAAAGAACCAGACCACTGTGTTAGCAAAGTTTAGTTCTAACTACACATTATGAATATTTTAAGTTTTTGCAACCATTTTCAGATGCAAGCAGTACACTGTATTTTACCTACAGTTCCAGGCCTCCATTGATTTCCATTCATTTCCGTACGGTACGAAACAGTGGGTAATGCAGTTTAGGTGCAGATAGATTTGAAAGTCTGCGCTGCATTGCCATACAACAATAATGTAACTTTGACATCCATCAATATATAAAAATGGTATTCACTTGATTACACAGCTCAAGAGTTTTATACCGTATAGCAATTGCGGGAAATCAAAGGCCTCTTGGAACAGAAGAAAAAGCACATTCACATTTCTACAGCTAAACAGCTTGGTTTGCAAAATGATTAGCTGTGACGTAAAGTAAATGTGATATGGCTAAAACATGCAAAACCCTTGGTATGGTCCTTTAAAGTGTGTCGGACAGAAGAACACTGCAGGTCTTTTCATAAGCAAATTACATTTTTGACTTGCCATCACCAACAAAACACAATTACTATAAAAACTGACATAAGTCATTTGAACTTATATCTAATAAGCAAACCACAAACAGTAGCTGGAATATGCCAGCATTTGCTTGGACAGTCACATCCTTCTGGTTCCCTCTGTGGTCTTTTTATACTGAACAAAGTTATAGTAGTATATTTGGCTCCACATGGATCCTCTATTAAGTGCTATATATTTGTGACCAAAATAATAAAATGATCAATTTATTTAGTTTTGGACATCAACTGTAATGACCTGCAACAGAATTCAGTCTTTGCACAAAGACCAGTTCAGGTCAGAAGAGCTTGGTACACCTGGGGCTGGTTTGGTTAAGCAGGATAAAAAAAGTTCATGCACTTCTTTTCCAATTGACTTGTTTTGTGCTTTTCTCTCCTCTTGCCATCCTTAGAAAAAAACAACTTTCTTTTGTATAAATTTGTACACTATTACCATCGAAATAGCATTGCCATCACTCTATAGTCGTGAGAGAGTTTAAATTCCTGAACATGGTGGATTGACTGACATTTCATCAACAGCATATGATGATGTCATTGCCTCTGGCTTCCCAGCATTCCCTGAAGTCAAGCTGTTCGGGATGGGAATGTAGGAGATAGGGGGTAGATGGTAAAGCTCTCTTTTATTCATCTGCCGTCTCTAGCCGTGTCGTTGCACTCTGATTCGGATCACTGAGGATGTTTGAGGGTTTGGTTTTCATTCATGCAGTATGTTAAAGAGACACCGTGACAATTTGACACCGGGCTCTGTGGCGCCTGAGAGTGGCAGTGATGAACAGTTTCTGCCATCTATCCAACACTTGAAGATGACTTTGAGACCCACTGACCCTTGCTTTACCATTTAGTCAAAAATGTCTCTTGACTAACATCTTGAAACATGACAAGATATCTTGAAAACAAATGTTTAGATTAGTTTTTGTAATGACATCTGCTGTTGGTTTTAATATATCCACAGGATGATCTTACTGATGAAGTTGCACAAAATACCTTGAGGTTTAATTTCTTCTTAACTGGGAAGTTATTTAAGTGTGTTGCACAAAATTAATTTTTGTTTCTTGCATAAACTGAAGTTGTAGTTGCCTGGGGAGACAAAGAGATAATTTAAGGTAAAGCAAGCAGCTGATCGACCTAGGCCTTCTGTTTGTTACAGTTTGGATACTACCACTCCTCAAACTCCCTGCAGAAAGTAGAGTGATCTGTCTCTCTCTATCAAAACTATAGTGTTCTAAGAACGCTCTTCTCGTGATGCGTCCCTTTCCTTCATTTATGGTCATGTTGTGGTCAAGATGAGAGTCAGAGGTACCTTACATTTTTAACCATACTTTGTTGCTAAGGTCTTCTGTGTAATGGTTTAACTAACTTTATGGGATTTGTTAAGTATTAGAGATGGAGAAAACCTCACTTAAGGAAAGCTTAAAGACAAGACTTAAGGGTGTTTTGTGCATTTTTTTTATGTTAAGGAAACCAAATAGGACTTTAAGGAAAATCTTAACTTAAGGTCTTTTGTGCAACCGGCCCCTGATCTTTCCTCCCACGCCACCATCAGGGCAAACCTTCATTAGCACCACTGCAGGAAGGCTCTAAGAATAACCAAATTGTCAGTATGTTGCTTATGATTTTAAACACCTCATGACATGACATTTTCTTGTTTCATCATTAGGTACTGCCTTAACCTTGATCCAGGACATCCATACCACAATGCTTACCCCCTGTTCATCAACGTTATGAACATTAAGGGCAGAATGTTAAAAATACGAACACATCAGATGACAGGCAATCTTGACTTGCTCACTCACCTAAAAATGCCAGACCATATGTGGTATGATGGTCCCGCATCAAGCTTTTATAAAGGTACTATTAACCAAAAGTGACTTTGTTAGCATCTCTCATTCAAGCCAGTGGACAGTACCAGCACTATGCTAACTTATGTGACATGGTGTTACAATGTTAATAGCTTTTCCTGGGTTAGCTGGAGGTCAAAAATAGGAACACTTCCACCAGAAAGTGACATGTGTTTATCAAAGAACAAGCAGACTTAAAGTCAGAAAGTCAAGGTGTACCTTCACTGACTGATGACAGCACCCAACCACATGTCCTCCTGAGCTGTTTCTCTTGTTTCACCACCCACACACACACACACACACACACACACACACACATACACCTGTTGCCAACACATACATACTAAAACACAAAACACAGAACTACAGTGACTTCAGTACCCTCTACATCATCTCTAAAGTAAAAAATGCTGCATGTTGTGTCAGAGTACTGTACATCCTGGTGGTTGGTTTAGTTTGGCTGAGATAGCTGCTTGTCTGCAATTTCCCTTTTTCTACATCCTCGATTAATTTCCATTTCCTGTGTCCTCCTCTCCTGTCATCTCCTTTTCATTGCTGTCTGAGGCTTTGTGCATTTCTTCTGCTCTCCCCTCCACATTCTCTTTCACAGACAAGCAAATATCAGTATCATTGCACAGACAGGTTTATGAGGCTGGACTGCAAATAGTTGAGTTGAGCTGCCAGGAAGATTTTGTTCTTGGCATTGTGTGAGTTTGACTTATTACCATGTGAGAGAAAGACAGTGAGCTTGCGTCTGTCCAGTGTTCACCTCTTCTATCTCGCTCCCTATCCTTCCTTCCAGCCAGGTTTGGTTAATTGTATCCAAACACAACACAATGACTGAGTATAGATGCTACTTTGACCACTGTCTTCATGTAGTTCACTTTCCATCTGACCTTCTTTCAGAGTAGACCTGAATCCAAGAGGAAAGACCTGTCTAGGCCAGAGAAAGACTTCACCATCGCTAAGGTGTTCCAACTCCTCAGAAGCTAGAAGACGTTTCCAAGGAACCTTTTTGGCACTAAGAGAATAGGAGTGACGAGTGGTATCATGTACATATTTATGGAAGTACCCACCCAGTTGTGGCTGCTATGGGATTAATTTGTCAGAACTTCCAAACAATAAGACACCAACACATTAAGACATATAAACAGTTTAAAGTTTGAAGTGATGGATAATTTTCTTTCAAAAATTAGAAGGATTTCTGTGAAATTCAGGTGTCATTTAGGTTAAAGTGGAATATCTGATAACTTGTCTGGATGTACATGCTTATTTTATCCTTAACGTTTCCAACCTTAACCAAACAGTGCATCAGTGTCTAGTAGGATCTGGGCAGAGTGTCCAAGCATTCTTTTGATTCGCATTTAGTTCATACCAGACAGGATTTGCCTAATAAGTGGAAGTAAAAATAACTGCAACAACCCTGCAAAGACCCCAAACACTTCCAGCGACATCAACTGCACTTGCCAAGATGTTCCTCCCATTACTGCCAATGGCTGAATGCTCCTGGGTGGGCGCTGATGCCGAGGAACAGAAAAAAAGGGGGAGTGAGGGATTAAAAATGAGACTGTTGGTAGTAACAAATACTTATTGCCACAGTCCTTGTTGCTGTTCATGTGATAGCAGGATAATCATCTGATGACCGCACCCCTGTATGGGTTCTTAGAGCAGGTGGAACTATAACGTGGTCTCATATTCCAACCTCTCCTGCACCAGAGCATCATCTTTGTACTGCAGCCGTGGAGGAGTCAGGGAGCAATCTATGGCCAGGATTGCCTTGCGTATACTACGGTCGAGGACATGGCGCTCCCAGGCTGGGTAGCGGTTCCTGCAGAGGTCGATCTTGATGACTGTCTCTTCCAGGCGTGGGGCACGAGACGATGGTGTAGATGGCACTGTGGGTCGGACCTGAAACACCGGCATGCAACCATCCCGCTCAGAATACTTCCCCACGTCACGCTCCAGGGTTGTGGCGCCACCTCGGTTGGAGCGCAGTGAGTTGGTGGCACCTTCAGATGGTAGTGTGGAGAACTGAGCAGTGGGGTCTAGGTCCAGACCCTGGCCGCTCGGCGATCGTCCAAAGCGTGGCCCGTTGGGATGGAAAAAGGCATAGTACATGAGCATGAAAACCACGCCAGTGAGGAAACTGCTGAAGATGACGCAGAGTGCTGGAACTGCAAAGGCGTCAGTGGTATGAGGCGACCGGTAGAGATACCACAACGCACTGAGTGCAGCATTCTCCACCAGGATCACCAGGTAATAGATGAAAAGCCGACACCTGAACAAAGACATGTGACATGATAAGAAGAAATTAATCAGACAGAGTGAAACCAAATCAGAAAAACATAAAGCAGTGCTCTCCAGTGTAAATAGTGTAAATAGAAGTGCTCATATTGTATTTTGACAGTGATCTATAAGGATGGCGAAAATGGATGTCAGTCTGTCCCTCAAACAGACAGACTGTCCATTTTCGGACCAAAAAATCCATCAATTCCGCTAAATATTAATAATATATTGTAAGTGTTAAACACTGAGCAGTGTATTTCAGGGTACTTTTCATTTTAAAAACACCTTTCTGACATTCTGTGAAAATGTCAAAGTTGTGCACAAGATATAGAAAATACTGTGTTACCATGCATTTTGCTGTGGATGTTGATGGTCCCCAGAGGATAAATCCCTCTGATTGTGGTGAACCCACAACTTAGGCCAACAGATGAAAAACGTCTTTGAATTTGGTCACAGGCTGTCCTACACGGTCATTCTGAGGTCAGGAGTTCTAACAGCAAGGCTGTAAGAATCTAAAATTTTCAATGAGTTGTTTAGCCTGTCCAATACTTTGTATGCCTGTTTTCTCCGTTGCTTGCATCAGCCACTATTCTCGTCGGATTCAGCCCTGTGTGCGCTCTCGAGCCTCTCTCAGACTACAGCGACAACACGGCAGCTAACAACATGCAGTCCACTAACACCATAAAACAACCGGCTCACAGCAAAACACAGGCTCCACGTAAGGATACAAAACAACAATAAAGGTTTATGTGCTGAAGCCCATCAGACCAAACAGGTTCAGATGATGTCGAGTAAGAACAAAGTGAGCATTAGCAAAGCTGGAGAAACACAGAGAAAGTCACGTTAGCTCCTCGGCTAACGCCAAGCTGTTGCTAATGTTATCTGGTGCAAAGTTATATCGCTTTCCACATTACTTCACCAACTGACCCATGTTGCTATCCTGTGTACCATTGTTGATTTAGCCTGCAAGAAAGGATGTAATGGCAAAAAGAGATTTGTTGACGTTAACCTATAGTGATGCAGCCAGCTAACGCTACAGTACCTGCCGCTGTTGGCTTCGTAACGTTCAATTTAGGTTTATTGGTGGTTTTACCAATACTCAGGTATACAACTTCTCCACCTCTCAGTTTCTGTAACTAACATGACCCACATAATATACAATACTGCAACTTCACAGCGACAACAACCCAGAGGAAGAACCATCCACTGACACTATACAGTAAAGTTATTTACAGCAGACTTATTATTATTATTAAGTGTGACACAATCTTGTTATATTATTCAGTCCAGCTAATTACCTGTTTCGTTATCATCCAATACATGTAGCTGTGCTGACATTGCTGAGCCTCCGGTGACAGACTCACAGATAGTGAAGATAGTTACTGAAAGCAGCAGGCGATCTAACGCTGTAGCACGTCAGCTAAATGCAGTAAATGTACCATGATCATGTAATGAGCATGGATTAGTTCAACCTGCAGCTGATAAAACAATTACTATAATGTTGCAGGAGGGGTTTACCTGAGTTTCCAGTATATTGGGTGAAGCTGTCTCCCTGTCTGTCTATAGCCGCTGTCACTCTGCCTTTTTTCCGGGAGGATTGTGCCGATATGCGGCTCGCTGCGCTGAATGAAAGGTACGGAGTCGGTGTTGATCTGCCTCTGAGTCGGGAACATCAAGTAACAGAGCCTGAACATGTCTGAGTGAAAAGCCACAGCCTGCGTGCTGGTGTTCCTGCGTTTAATGCAGGATTTCTGTATGAAAGCGGTTGTGTTTCAGATTATGCTCGCTCATGAGTTCAAGAGAGCACACGTACGAGCACACACCTGGTTGCAATCTTAGAACCACACCGCTAGTGGCCGCTGGAAACTCCATTATGCCCCTTTAAGGTGATAACATGTCAATGTTATTTTACAGCTTGTTCCACTGCTCCCAAACAGGCAGAAAAAAATCCATTAATGGAGCTTCAGACTGTCTTGTTCTTTACTGCACCCTGTTTGTTGCAACGCCCCAGTAACCCTGTACTGCCCAGTACAAACGTTTCAATACCTGACTCATATTGTGATATTTCAGAGCTGCTTTGACAGCCAAGTAGTGGTAGTGCTTTATTGGGTTGATTTACTAAAAAAGGTTACTTCAAAACTACAAATGATCCTGGTTTTAATCCCCAAATTCCTTCTCAGCTCATTGTAGATCCATTTTTTTTGATGTGCCAAACAGTTGACAGCTGACTGAACTTCATGCAACCAGCTGACTTTAAAATTAAATAAATACTGAATAATAAAGACACTCAACTAGATTGAAAAATTTCTGAAAAGGATTTTTTCTTCAGGTCTAAAATCACACTGAATGGAGCTCAGAGTCCTCACCTTGTCCGACCCTCCTTGACGTTGAACCAGGAAAAGATATAGATTATGCCCACCACCATGTCAAACACAATTTCCTCCCACTTGCTGATGCAGAAGTCTGTCTCACAGTGGACAATCCAGAAGGTCATGATGCACCAGTGCAGGACAATGAAGATGCCAAAGTAGAGTTGGAACACAGAGGCAAACAGGGCAAAGGTGATGACCCTTGCGGCGATAGTGAAGAAATGCCAGCAGAACTGGATGATCACAGCCAGGTAGCTGATCGGCTTCTTGTCATCCCGAGACTCTCGCAGGGCCTTCTGGTAGGAAGCCAGCGCCCAGGCCAGAGACACAAGGGAGGCTGCCGCTGTCATACCTGCAACAGACACACAAAGACACAATGGGTTTGATTTCAGTGCCACATCAAGGCGACCATCACAGAAACACTTTTGGAAAATTTTTTGCTGTGAGACCCACAGTCAGATGAGATTATGAATATTGGTTTCATCTCTGTGAGTCTTTTACACAGAATATGTTTGTCTTAGCTTAGCACAAACTCTAAAAGCAAGGGGAAATGTTTGCTTAGATTTCCAAGGAAGATTAAAATCAAGGGCAACTGGACTGGTTTGAAGATACTCAAAGACGTTCGCCTCCCATTTAAGAGGATAATTCAGCTCTGACAGACTGGCAGGGAAACCCAGCAATTTAACCTCTGAGTCTGTCTGTAAGGATTCACGGGAGCACTAATGAACCAAGCGATACTTATCACCTTGATAATGACCCCACAGAGGTTGAATGGCCAGTCAGTCAGAATTGAATAAGCCCCTCGTATGAGAAGCAAAGTATCTTCAGTTCAGTCCAGTTCATTTTAACCTTCCTTGGATAACTATGACCTGGATGACTGAGGATCTTCACAGACATGTATTAGCCTAGAACAGTGCTGAACAAACACAGGGGAATACAATGTGAATTTAGTGGCTTAGTAGTAGAAGTATGGAGTATAGAAAGAGTGTGTGTGTGTTACCTTGTACAGCCTGGAGCTTGTGTGTCTGTATGATGATGCACAGCTGCAGCACCAGTTGTGGCGCGCTCTCCAGAAAGGTGGCCAATAGATGCAGCATGCTCACATCTGCAAACTCATAGACCATCCTCCAGTAGTAACGCCAGCGGTCTGTCTCAGCACTCTGACGACTCCGAACGCCCAGGTAGATTGTATGGAAATACCTGGAGGAATCGGAAAAAGAAAAATCATGCGTCAACATCAACAAGTTAGACTGCAGTGTTAATATTTGTGAGTATGTACAAAAAAAATCATTGAATTTTATCCATCAATTGCAGTTAAAAAAAAAAAATGAATAGTACATTTTAAATCATCACAGTATACCAAAAGATATATATCTCTTTAAAAGCTTTCTACTTGTATCAATATACAGGTGCTGGTCATATAATTAGAATATCATCAAAAAGTTGATTTATTTCAGTAATTCCATTCAAAAAGTGAAACTTGGATATTATATTAATTTATTACACACAGACAGATATATTTCAAATGTTTATTTCATTTAATTGTGATGATTAAAACTGACAACTAATGAAAATCCCAAATTCAGTATCTCCGAAAATTGGAATATTACTGAAGACCAATACAAAAAAAAGATTTTTAGAAATGTTGGCCAACTGAAAAGTATGAACATGAAAAGTATGAGCATGTACAGCACTCAATACTTAGTTGGGGCTCCTTTTGCCTGAATTACTGCAGCAATGCGGCGTGGCATGGAGTCGATCAGTCTGTGGCACTGCTCAGGTGTTATGAGAGCCCAGGTTGCTCTGATAGTGGCCTTCAGGTCTTCTGCATTGTTGGGTCTGGTGTATCACATCTTCCTCTTCACAATACCCCATAGATTTTCTATAGGGTGAAGGTCAGGCCAGTTTGCTGGCCAATTAAGAACAGGGATACCATGGTCCTTAAACCAGGTACTGGTAGCTTTGGCACTGTGTGCAGGTGCCAAGTCCTGTTGGAAAATTAAATCTGCATCTCCATAAAGTTGATCAGCAGCAGGAAGCATGAAGTACTCTAAAACTTCCTGGTAGACGGCTGCGTTGACCTTGGACCTCAGAAAACACAGTGGACCAACACCAGTAGACATGGCACCCCAAACCATCACTGACTGTGGAAACTTTACACTGGACTTCAAGCAATGTGGATTCTGTGCCTCTCCTCTCTTCCTCCAGACTCTGGGACCTTGATTTCCAAAGGAAATGCAAAATTTACTTTCATCAGAGAACATATCTTTGGACCACTCAGCAGCAGTCCAGTCCTTTTTGTCTTTAGCCCAGGCGAGACGCTTCTGACGCTGTCTTGTTCAAGAGTGGCTTGACACAAGGAATGCGACAGCTGAAACCCATGTCCTGCATACGTCTGTGCGTGGTGGTTCTTGAAGCACTGACTCCAGCTGCAGTCCACTCTTTGTGAATCTCCCCCACATTTTTGAATGGGTTTTGTTTCACAATCCTCTCCAGGGTGTGGTTATCCCTATTGCTTGTACACTTTTTTCTACCACATCTTTTCCTTCCCTTCGCCTCTCTATTAATGTGCTTGGACACAGAGCTCTGTGAACAGCCAGCCTCTTTAGCAATGACCTTTTGTGTCTCGCCCTCCTTGTGCAAGGTGTCAATGGTCGTCTTTTGGACAGCTGTCAAGTCAGCAGTCTTCCCCATGATTGTGTAGCCTACAGAACTAGACTGAGAGACCATTTAAAGGCCTTTGCAGGTGTTTTGAGTTAATTAGCTGATTAGAGTGTGGCACCAGGTGTCTTCAATATTGAACCTTTTCACAATATTCTAATATTCTGAGATACTGATTTTGGGGTTTTCATTAGTTGTCAGTTATAATCATCAAAATTAAAAGGAATGAACACTTGAAATATATCAGTCTGTGTGGAATGAATGTATACATTAAATGAGTTTCACTTTTTGAATGGAATTACTGGAATAAATCAACTTTTTGATGATATTCTAATTATATGACCAGCACCTGTATAGCCTAAAACACTACTGTTGCAGAGGTGCACTGGGGGTTGTGAGCAGCCAGGCTGGACAAAGAAAGATCTTGATAGTGATACAGGCCCATTCAGGACCATTGACCAATTTTGAGATGAAACCCAAAATTCCCCATCCACTAGTGGAAAAACGGCATACTAAATCAGATTGTCCCATAGTGCCCTTTATCCAAACCAAAATCTTTTCCTATTGATGCAAAATAATGATTATGGACACCATGGTGGGTGAAAAAGGCATATATATTTAAAGCAAATAGCCTAATGCTTTTGTACAATTAACAGCATACACTGTATAGAGTATCACAATGCAGACAACACGTTTCAGCAAGTTCAGCAGCACATGGACCCACACACTTTGTATCTTAAAAGAGAGGACCTGCACTGATTTTGCACATCTTAAAGTAGGTGTGAAAATGCACATCTAGTGGCCGTTCACATACACTGGGCATGCACGTGCCAGTGTAAACGTGAAGCAGATGGTCTATTCCGCAGTTACAGAAGATTTGGCGAAAGAATAAAGTACTACAGACAAAGAACCACACCGGATTTGCATGGACCAAGAACGAGCTGGGACTGTTAATGAATGTAACACGGGAGTTAAAAGCGTCTGGGAGTCGTTGCAAAGTAAATACGGCGACATACACAGTACAAGTGTAGGTTTTAAGTGTTATTTGCACGGTACAAAATATTTAAATAAAAATACCAAGTCAAAAACTTGTAGCATCATGTTTCTACTTTAATAAGAGTTAAAAGACCCAATCAGAAAGCCAAACGTGACCGTCTGTGTCATCGTTTCTAAAGTTCTGTTTTTGCCTGTCTTCTCTAAAACACTCTCCAGAGTTTCAAAACGAAAGACGGGGTTGTCAGCGTTTTCTAACTTCTCTGTTTTCTCCCTTTTGTGCAGACATAGCAAGAGGCCTCTGTTTTAAAACGAAAACGCAGTAGTGTGGATGGGGACACAATTTTTGTTAAACACAGTATAGCTTAGCTTTAGTTGGGGCACTCTTGTGGCCTAGGGGTTAACATACCGACCATGAACTGCAATGGTCCTGGTTGAGGCCAGAGATCTTGTTGCATGTCATTCCCTTTGTCTCTCTCCCCTCATTTCTTGTCTTTGCAGTTTTACAGTCCTCTCTGGTTTCACCTCTAACCTGACTCTATTTTGGTGTGGTCAGAAGTGTGCTCTGTTGCACCTGTAACCCCACCCCAAATGAAGTCACAGTGTACTGACACACCCTGGATAACACATACGCTGCATCACTGTAGCAAGATGAGAAATTAAACCACTGGCAGACGGCAAAAACAAGATTATCAGCTGCATTTAAGTTACTCTAACTTAACTCAACTCCACCTAATGTAACATAACCTTACCCATTTTAAGTTAAGTAACAGCTGGAGGAAACAGTGAAAGCAGACTTCAGACTGAGTGCGCACAAAAAAAGAACACTCATCAAACTTGTACAGTGCTTACAAATTTCTAAAATCCTGATTTGCAGATGGAGCATGGCTTGAATTTGCTTGAATTTATTTTAATTAGCTTTAATTTGTAACACTTCTGTCTATAATAAACTTTTAGAGCTGGTGAATATCAACTTTTTTTGTGGAGACACAGAAATAGATTCTCTGCTATATAGTTTAAATAATCTGTCTGTGAAGGTTCTCCGTCATCCAGGTCATAGTTATCCAAAGAAGGTTGAAATCAAGGGTTGAACATACATGAAGATGTTTCGCCTCTCATCCAAGAGGCTTCTTCAGATCTGAGTTTGAATAATAGTTTCGGCATGCAATTTCATTAGAAAATACTGGATTGCAACATGAAAATCACACACACTGCAGCTCCTGGCAATCCAACTCCAACTGTACTTCTCCAGACCTGAGGCAAGAGCTCATTTAATGAAGTGAATTCATTATTACTTTTTAGTCTGTCTGTGGCCTACATTTTTGTGTGACTCTCTCTGTCAGTCTCCCTCATTCATTTCCATTCTCTGTCTCTTTCTATCTCTGAAATATCACCAACACACGGCAGCCATTTAGCAGCGCGCTAATGGGCCGTGAAATGAAGCTCCATTGTCAATAAAGAAGTTGAAAATTAAATCTGGGCTGAGGGCATTAAAGTTGCAGCATGTCCATGGACAGATGGACCTGAGACATTTCTCACTGTGTGTGTGTGTTGGTGCTGGTCTTTGTAAGTCTACAGATACAGATTAGACTTGTTAACCTGTCACTCAGGCTACATTTACACTGTAACTGAAGGTGTCCCAGTTCTGCCGGCTTCACTCACATCTACTGAGAAGGAAAGCCAGGTCATTCAGTCTCATGTTCAGCCTTCAAGTGAGGCCAGCATTGCCCTTTAAATGCTACTTTTTGTGTACAGTACATATTCCCCCCAACACAACTGATAGAATGATCCATTTTATCAAGCAAGTTTTAGTAATTCTATCTTTGATATCACATGATTTCAGACCTGATTTTTAGCTACATGGTAAAACTTTTATGGCATTGGACCATTTGTCCCTTATGCCACTAGAGCACTGCACTAGAGTCTCCAAAAGTAGAATGGGAGCCAGAGCCTTCAGCTATCAAGCTCTTCTCTTGTGGAACCAGGTTGGGTTTGGGAGCCAGACACCATATACACATTTGAGAGTAGGCTTAGGACTTTCCTCTTTGATAAAGCTTATAGTTAGGAGCCCTTAACCATCCTTGATGTTGCTATAGACCTATGCTGCTGGGAGACCTCCAATGATGCTGTGAAGGCCCTCTTCGGTCTGTTGAAAAAGGTTTTTGGTCTCCTTGGTGTTTTGTTCTGAAAGCCTATCTTTTTGGAGGTGCTGTCCTTCTAGAAACTGATTTAGCCTGTAATGTAGTGAGAGAGAGACCGTCAGTGTCATCCCTGTAGTCTTCTTGGAATAGTTCCCAGTGCATGACATGAACACACTCCTGTTGGGTCTCCTCAGAGTCCTTGTGCTTGCTATCTGTTGTATCACCAATGGCTTGTAGACGTATCAGGTTGTGTTGTGAGTGGGGGGATGAAAGAAGTATCTCACATTGAGATACAGTCTGTAAAGCGAATGGGGAGGGGGGGGGCAGAGGGCGTGGCTGCCCAAGGCCCATGGTTCTCTCCAGTGACAACTTTGGACACAATCTGCCTGACTAAACATGCATTTTTGTTGATTAGTGGAATATTTTTAATAAAGTTTGTTTGGGTGTCTTGATCGTGGCAAAAATGTAAGACTACAGACCACATCTGTATCTTGTACAGAGACGAACCCGAACCACTGCCAAGAGGTTCTTGTCTCTCGCAGCAAACAGCACCAGGGTGGACACTGCGGCCTGTTTGTATTGTTGTTGATTCCAACCCCTTAGTACCCCCCCAATAGGTTCTAATTAGTTTTGTCAGGAGTTTAGATTTCAAACAAACCAACCACAGGATTTTATGATAACAGATGTTGGATTTTAGCATTAATTCAAAAGCTAAACTACTAATAAATTCATCAGCTGATTGTGAAATCTGTTCGATCTTATAATTGATCTGTATAATAATAAATCACTGCAAATAATTTGGTAACCAAGTATGCGCCTCAGCGTGGGTTTTTTCCCTGATTAATAAGTTCAAAGCTGTTAAAAATGCTGTGCTTGTACTCAGTGTACTTCATTAAATCCATTAAAAAGTGTGTGACAACGATCCCACAGTAATGAGCCCTGAATCATTACTGTACAAGACGCCTCTTCTTCATCCTGTCTCTATGTCAACATTCATAACATGCGGTTGATTTGCAGTCTAAAAACAATAATAATGCTTCTAATCAGTTATTTCTTTGTGAACTCTTTGTGATGCTAAAGAACAGAATTATTCACATCAGAAGCATTAAAGTTAAACTGTCACTTTAAAAGTCACTGGAATTTGAATTCCCCACGTCAATCAATGAGTTACATGTCAGTTTGATAATTTGATGTTTACTCCTCTTGGTTTGTTTGTAACAAGTCTAGTATGAACAGGAGCTAAAATGCAACCATGCATAACAGGGTTAGGGTTAGTTGAATAGGGTTAGAGTAGGGTTGCTGAATCTCAAGAAATGGTAGGCTACTTTTACTAAGTGTAACAATATATTAACGATTCTTAATGTTCATAAAATATATACTGATCATTTATCACTATTGATGAACCCCGCAAAGAATATTATAGCGTTTAAAAGCAGAACTTTAATACATTTTCATACAATTCTCAGCAGGGAGGCAAAATTCGGCCTGTGACAGTCGACATGCTGGCCAGCCAAAAGAAAGAATGACATTTATTATTTATTTTTAATGCAGCAGTCAAATGTTGATTACATTAAACCAAAGTGACTGTGAATCTTTTGTTATTTTTAATGCATCCACAAAGGAAACCTGGAAACTTGCCAAGTGGAAGCACTTCTCCTGTAGGTTATTTTATGAGCTTTTCACTATCAGTCAGGCCCGCAAAAATAAGACGGTAATTTACAATGTGCCACTACTTGAGACAGCCGATGTGTATACTGGAGTGAGAATGGCAGAGCTGGAGCATTATAAAATGCGTAGCTTAATAGTGCAACTCCTATCTGAAGTATGTTCACCTTTATAGGCAACTATATCAACATAGGAAATACTCCGTTCAAAGTAAAATTCAATAAGCTGGAGTGTTGCGCTGAGAGCAGCTGAGCATACACAGCTATGGCTCGGAAAAAGAAAGGTAACGCAAAACATATTTCGAGGGAAAGCAAAAGTATTGCGAGCACACGCAAAGTAGGCTAGTCCTCAAAAAAATTTAAAAAATGATATTCCTCACTGAGCCCTTGGAGTCACCGTAATCTGTGGATCTGAAGTCCAAACTCAGTTGCATCATTTATTTACTTATTTCCTTTCTTTGAATAATGATAAAATTATATAAGGACTGTAAGTCTTATGCATATGTTCTGGTTTATGTTAAGAGGATTTTAAAGACAAAAATCACATTTGTTGATGTCATCTTCCTTGTTGGGAATAACTCATTTGTATAGAGGACATCATGATGTTTGACACACAAAGTTTCAGAATTGAGTAATTTTCCTTCTGTGTATTGATACATTTAAGGCTTTTACCATCTACTCTATTTACAAAGCAGTAATTTCTTTTTTTGTAACTCTTGCCAATCAGCTGTATAATTCCACTAGGAAGAGCATTTACACTGCCCTTGAAAAGCAAAAAAAAGTGTAGTTTTGAAAAACACCCTGATTTTTAGGTGAGCAAAAGTGTGGGAACATGTCCCCCTGAACACATGACAGGTGTTTGCTCAGCTGCTTCCTGTTGCATTGATAGTTCAAACATGAAAATGTGGCGAGTGCGTAGCCTTGGTTTTGCCATGGTTTTATAATCAGAAATGTAAACCAACATGAAGACCAGAGAACTGTCCATACATTGTCAACCACTCATCCTGCGTACAGGGTCATGGGAGGCTGGAGCCAATCCCAGCTGACATCGGGCAAAAGGCGGGGTACACCCTGGACAGGTCGCCAATCCATCGCAGGGCCACACATAGACAAACAACCACTCGTGCTCACACCTAAGGACAATTTTAGAGACACCAATTAACCTAGTCATGTCTGGACAGTGGGAGGAAGCCGGAGCACCTGGAGAGAACCCACGCAGACAACACGCAAACTCCACAAATGCAAACTCTTGGAACAACAAAGGTTCGAACCTGTAATCTTCTTGCTGTGAGGCGACAGTGCTAACCACTGCACCACTGCACCGCCTCAGAGAGCTGTCTTTGCGACAAAATCAAGAAATCTGGAAGCTGAGAACCATAAACACAAAACGTGAGAATAACAAATACAACAATTTGGAAAGTCTTGAAAAAGAAATAACAAAACACTGCTTTACTAGCAACAGACAGCGGACAGGTGGGCCACAGAAAACAGCAGCAGTCGTTGAAGGAAACATTGTTAAGGGCTGCGAAGAAACCTCTAACAGTCAGCGACATCACCAACAGCCTCCAGAAAGCAGGGCTGAAAGTATCGTAGTCTAGCCTTCAAAAGACCAAGATAAGATTATGTCTAGACAATAACACATAGACAGCAGACCTGCTTCTCATAACTCAATGCTTAAAGCTGCTCTGCGAACAGCTGCACAAAGTCACATGTTTCAATTTGAGTGAAAACTTTGCCTGTGTCACACGAGATAAGATTAAAAAGAGAGAGAATAGAGGGAAATAACAGAAAGCATTGGGGATGACGTTTTAGTCAGTAGTAATTAGTTTTTCTTTTGAATTCTGGAGAGTTATTAGATTATTATAAGAAGCTAACACAGTTCCACTGAACTACCTACAGGAAGAATGGTGCTGGATGGGTTGTATATAGAGCTGAAACAATTTGTTAATAAATCAGTTCATTTATTACTCAATCTACATAAAACTAATTCGCAGCAATTTTGATAATCAATGTAATAGTCATACATCAAGCAAAAATGCCAATAATTCTGGTTCCAGCATCTAAAATGTGAGAATTTGTCTCTTTATATATAATAGTGCATAGAATGTCAAACATTTTCACCAATTAAGCATCCTTACCATTTAATATACCCATCAGTATTTTTGCGATAATCCCTTTGCCATAAAATGAAATGCTCTACAAAAATCTTAAGCATACAGTACATCACATATCCACCCTCCTCATTCTCTACTGTGTTAACGACATCCAAATGCCCAGACCACATAGACCGTCTGTTGTAATGTAACAACTTCTTAAATAAAATATTATATTGTAAACACAGAATTCCTCTCTGAAATTAACAACAAATGATTGCAATTTCGATTCATCGGTTGATTATCTTTTTCAATTTATCATTTTGTGTTAAAAATGTCAGGAAATAGTGAAAAAAAATGCCCATTCCAACTTCCCAGAGTCCGAGCTGACATTTTTAAATGTGTCTGACCAACAAATTAAGTTAACAACAGTATAATATAAAACTGACAAAAGCAGCAAATCCTCCCATTGTACCACTGTTGGACAAAATAGGTTTAAATTTATGAATAAACTGTCTTACAAATGTACAGGTTCACAGACATTCCAGTGCCAGAAGCATAATCTGGGGTGCTGTGATCCCAGCATGAATTAAGTGATGGTACTATATAGAGTATTACACACTACACTGTAAATGTCACAAGGCAGACTTGAAGTCCCAGGACTACGTGCAGCCCAGGACAGGTCAAGCAGACAGTAATACTTTGGCTGCAGCTAGGGCTATAGTTCCCGCTGAGGACTCCGAGGCCATGTGCTCTGATTCTGGGGGAAGTGGCAGCTTCAGCAATCGACTGATGCGTCATTACATGAACGCTAAATAACTGTAAAATAAACTGTAATTACTAGCTACTTTGAAGATTTAAATTGTATTGTACTAGATTACAAAGAATATGATCAATTTTTATAATATGATGCACTGTTACAGCAATAAAAATGCCTTTCTCTCTTTGGCTGATAAATGCTTGTGTATTTACTACTTCTGCTGAATAACTGGAGCATTTCTGCCACCACTGCTTACTGTCCAGCATGTGCACCACAGGGTAGGGTAAGTAATAGATCACTTCTGCTTCTCCATGAACTGTCCACTGCATGATATTTTTGTTTCTACAGAGATTAAAGAATGACTGTGGGCTAGCTGTTGTCAAATGCCCCCCCTGTGAATCTTGCTGTTTGGCCAAACATGGCAGTTCTTTCCAATCACACCAAAAGGGAAGATTCCCAGAGCATCAGCAGCACTCACTGCTTGACATCAGGTGTGACAGAATGGCCAGGGCCAGCTCCTTGTGTTTTTTTATATCATAAAAAGTATCATGCATGTTTAGCTTGTGTTGTCTTTTGTGGGCCACTAAGGATATAGAAGAGAAGTGACCTGAAAGCCACAGTATCATATGTGTGTTGGCCCTGCAGAGGGGAGCATGCTAAAGATGGCAGCTGGTGGCCATGCTGTAGTGTTGGCCACCATGGTGCCAAGAGTGCCAACTACTGTCAGAGCTGCCCTCTGCTCATTCATTCATTTATTCCACACACACACACACACACGCATCATCATTGATACCCATCCCAAGGCCTCCATCCTACCTCCATATTTGGCCCAGCTGGAGGATGTGGATGACCGACTGGCCGAACCAGACGCAGAAGGAGTAGTAGGCCGTTCGTTTCCTACTCCTGTTCCCCACCGCCGTGCTGGCGGTGCTGTTGGTCGTGGTGTTCTTGCTGGCGGTCGACGCCTGTCTCTGCGGCGTGGCCGGGTGGTGTTGAGCGGTAACGTCGCCGTGTGAGGCAGAGCCGCTCAGCAGCTTGTTCCCATCCATGTGGGAGCAGTCGGCAGCGGATTCCGCGCCGTCCTCGGTGCTGAAGTCGTGGACGAACCATCTGAAGCTAAACAGCTGGACCGAGAAGGAGCCCAGCACCACGAAGAAGAGCGTCAGGCCGAACCACCAGTAGTCGCGGCGGAGGTAGTAGTCAACCGACAGCCACACGTCGGTGCCCACATCGGCCAGATACACGGCCACTGCGGCTACGATCCACAAGCAGTCCCACACCGTGTATTTTTGCTGCTCCCTGCCCAGGCGAAGGCACGTCGAGTTGGAGCCTCCCCCGCCGCAGCACCGCGACTCTCCGTTGGCGAAGTCTCCATCCCCGGTGCCTGCAGAGTCGGGTTGAGCGCCCGGGTGGAGCCCCTGCACCGAGCCGGAGTGCTCCGAGTTCTGCAGAGGGGTGAAGGCCACGTCGCTCTTCTTTATCTTCAGGACCCCGTCCGATTTAGCCGCCATTATTAGAAGCTTGTAATATTACTCTAATATTTTTCCACTGCTCTTCCCCTCCTCTTCTCCTCTACCCCTGCCTCTCTCCGTCGACACCCTTCTGCGCGTCTTTCCTACTCCTCCTCCTTTCTGGGCAGGACTAGCTCCTCTACACTGCCGCCTGCTCATAATACAGAATAAAGACAAAAAAGAAGACTGAACGTATCCTCGTACTTGCTCCGATATTTTGGTCCATATCACGTTTGTTGGACTTCTCCTTCGGTCGATGTGCCGCTCACATCCAGCCGACCGGAGGGGTTTTCCGCTTTGTTTCCTCCACCTGCAGACAACCTACCTGCTTCTGCGGTTTGTCACTCTTTGCCCTTTATGAGTCCTGACGCTGAGGCAGATGTTGGGGACGGAAGTGGAGATGGAAACAGGAGTGAAGGAAAAGCGGAAAGGCTGCAGCCATCTGCCTCTTCCATGCCACAGACTGAAAACGATGACATCATCCTCACCTCTCTCTCTCTCTCTCTCTCTCTCTGACTCTCCCTCTCTCCCCCATGCCTTTCTGTCTCCCGGCTTACATACCGCTTGAGCTCCGTTACAGCACAGGATCCCCTATTTTGGGCAAACAAACTTACAATGAATCACGATATAAAAAGCTGGGGTGAAGCAGCCTGGAGTCCTGCAGGGTAAAGACTGGTTTTCAGCACCATGGACAGATCCTGCTGTTTTCTGTTTCTGCAGAAACTTGAACTTCATACCCTCTGAGCTTTTATCAGGTGTTTAAGCAGGTCCCCAAAACATTATGATTAATCGCACCGTCGTTTAATATGCTACTGTGCAGCACAATAAATTTTTGCAGCAGAAGGCCGCCTCTCACTCAAAACCTTCCCCAAACTGTTGCCACAGAGTTTAGAGGAATACTGTTGCTTAAAATAGCATCGCATGCTGTTAAACCAGGAAAACAGAGCCAGACCTAAAGTACACTAAACATGTCAAATACAAAGATTCAACAGTAATAACAAGCTTCCAGTCACTAGATATTCAACAGGGCAAATGTTTAAGGGAAAGCTAATCTAAAAATGCATTTAGGGCAATGCAATAACTTTTCGGGAACTGCAGTTTGTTGAAGAATTATTGTAGCCAGGTTCAAGTGTGAAGAAGTTTCAGAGACTTAACATAGCATGGTTTATAGAGCCCGGCTGAGGAGATACAGTGCCAGCATACAACATGTGAACACGTCGAATGCCAACACCATATCTGAAGGAGAACATCTTTTGATCCCTTTTGTGTTTCTGTTTTCCCCACTAGTTCCTGTAGGTTTCCCTCATAGGTCATCCTTAACCTAGAACAACAAATCTATCTGATGTTTAGACTCCAATGATACATCATATTGGACTCTATTACTATCCATGAGTTGTAGTCTAATCTGTGGAGTCAGTAAGTTCTTGTAAACATTCTTATAAGACTCAACCCTGCCTGGGGAGAGTAGAGAACATTGTTTTCTTCCATATCAGTGACTCATGAGTTACACAAAGCGAACATGTGCATTTTGTGGTCTGTAGGTAATCATGCAGGGGCTGGAATCACGAGTGGAGTTGAACAAGAAAGAAAAAGTTACTCTTAAAGGGCCCACGCACCCACAGTACTTCATCCATAAGGCAGTGCACAGCAAACCAAAAGTGAGAATTAATAATTACAAACACACACAAATCTACCTACACGAAATGGGGATGAAATAGATATCTTAATAAAATATTGTACTTTGTGTTGCCGATGATCCAAAAGGTTGAGGTACCTGATCATTTAGAAAGATAGTGAGTAGGTTATATGTGTTGGTTAAAATAATGCAGCACAGGGGGCAATGACATCTTAAAAGATCAACTATATCCAAAATATCTTGATTCGTCTCAAGATGCCCCAGCATGCAACTGTTAGAGCAATTAATTAAGTGATTCTGAGTGTTAAAGTGTTTCATTTTGCTGTTGTGGGACATTGTTAATCTTATACATTCTGGGCACATAGTGTCAGTTGCAATTATGATTACTAATGTTTCAAATTAGGAATAACTGTTTAATTGTCACAACACTGTGAAGTGCTATCAAGGGAGGAATTACCTCATGGTGTGACTCAGTAGAAGTGTTAGAGCGAGGCTGAACTACCTGAAGCAAACTGACCTGCCGCTTAAAAAAAACTTGACTCACAGGTCAAAATGAATGTCCCACTACCAAGCTCAAACCCACTCATGGGTCAGTATTTTACACCTTCCCACAATCAAAATGATGCACATGCCAGAATTCTTAGCCACACAAGCAGCACAGCCATAGATACAGTAACAGGTACTTAATTTTCTGTCTTTGTGTTTTTCATTCTTTATATTTGAAAATGCTTTTTCCTTCTCATAATTAATTTTTTTTCTGTGTTTCCTTTGCTACCTTCCTCTTTAATTTCTGTTCACTTTCGCACTTGTTTGCCCCACCCTGATTAGTCCCACCTGTGTCTTGTTAATCACCTCTCTCGTGTGTGTGCATGTGTATGTATAATTTGTCAGGTAGTCTTGGATGATTTGGATTTCTGGTACTCAGATCTTTTGTCTGTGCCTGTTTGCTTTGCGTTTGGACTATCCTCCTGTGTTTTTTTGACGCTTGCCTGCCTCTACACTGTAAGTCTGTTCACCTTTTGTTTAATTATTAAATTCAAATTTTAAACACTGTAGCAAATGTTTCTTACTACTCAGATGCCCCAGCACAGACACCAACACTGGATTATGTTTATAGCACACTTTTATTCAGTCCAATGTACACACACGTGCAACAAAAATCCTTCGATTCTGTTCCGGTGGTCCGGCTCATCCATGCTGGTCTTTCTTCTCACCAGCTTTGTCACAGTCCAAAATGCAGCGCCCAGCCAACCCATGCTGTACCGCCAGCATGTGTGTGAGTGTAAAGAGCAGACTAAAAGTCTGCTGAGACCCAGAACGCTACTGCATTTAGAAGGAGAGCATAATTAGTCAATGAACAACAGCTGAGGCTATTTGCTCTCCCTGGCTCTGCTCACATGAGCCACCTCTCCCTTCTGCAGAGAAAAAGAAGTGAATCTGCTGTGCCTGGTGTCTTGCATTTGGGTCTGGATCCATGGTTTTCCTGTCTGTGTTTGGCTTTAAAGGGTTGGACAATGACATGCAGTTTTAGCCTCCTCAACACAACACACACAGAAATGTATAAGTATATATTCAAATATATGAATAAAAGAAGAATAAAACAGAACAAAGTATACAAAAAGATTACATTCAACTTTACTGTCACTGCACAGAGTACAAGAACTGAGACAACAAAATGCAGAGTAGCATCTAACCAGTGCAAAAAGCAGTAAAGTGCAGAGTAAATATCAGTGAGGGGTAGAAATGAGTACTCTAAGATACAGTATGAACAGTGTGAAATAAAAAATGTTCAGTCTGGAGGAAGGTGTGAGTGAGGGGTATGTGGTGGAGGGGGGAAGAAAAAGTTCAGTCCTTGAGGTGTTGAGGGCCAGGTTGTTGTTGGCACATGCCACCATGTGCTGGACCGCCGCGACAGCTGTTGCTGATGAGGCCAACCACTGTTGTGCCGGTAAGTGAATGAGTGAGTAGAGGAGAGGACTCGAGAGGAGAGTTGTATGCCAGTGTTCAGGGTGAGGGTTTCAGGAGGTGGTGTTGTCTAATCTAACAAACTGAGGTATGTTTGTTAGAAAGTCCAGAATCCAGTTGCAAAGTGAGGTGTTGATGCCCAGGTTGCTGAGTTTGGTAACCAGTGTGGAGGGGATGACGGTGTTGTATGCTGAGCTGGAGTCGAACAGTTTTCTCACATTGGTTTTAACTGTTGTCCAGGTGGGACAGGGCAGAGTGTAGTGCCGTAGAGATGGTGTCCTCCGTACTCCGTACTATTTTGGTGGTAGGCAAACTGGAGGGGGTCCAGTGTGGGTTGACCCAGGACCAGTAACATGGAACAACAATGACAACAACTACAGGATTGACAACAATAGGAACACCAACAGCCACTACAACAAGAAGAACAATAACAACAGAGAGAAAACAAACAAAACAAAAGCAACCCTAAAGAAGGAAGGGGGGGGGGTGCATACATGTCACATAACAGCACTCGTACGGTTGTTTCTAGAGGGATAGATGAATAGGTGAGTAGAAATATGGATGGCTAAACATGGTCAGTGCCATTGGGGGGTATCTTGGGTTAGTAAAAGCATGTAGAGTAGGCAGGTTTTACTATGGGAACTGAGCACTGATTATACTGGGAAGAAATATCTATGTTCTTGTGCATCAAGGAATGATCTTATAGTATCCCATCGTTTGCTTGCATTCATATCTATGTCCATAAGTATTGAGGTGGCCTTTTGGAGGAAATCCTCCAACCACCGGTCTCTGGAAAGCAGGAGGGTTTCCTCACCTTTCAATTCACTATAATTAAATGTTTTGCCGCAAGGCACACAAGAGCAATCAGTCTTTGTTGCTTATCACTTATTTCTCCATGCAGGCACCCCGCAGACATGTCCTGGGTGAAAACCAAATATCTACACTTAGGATCCCTGTCAGCGTATGTGCAGCTTCCCTCCACAGGGAGACGGTAGGGCATTGCCACAGCCTGTGTATGAGAGTTCCTACTTCTCGGCATCCATTCCAGCATTGGTCTGATAGGTTCTGGTCCATCTTTTTTGAGTTTGGCAGCGGTGAAATATGCCTTATGAACTTAAAGCACTTCATGATGGTGGAGGTGAGTGCAACAGGGCGCAAGGTCGCTAGAATTCATCCTCTGGAAAGTCAGGCTTGCTGCAGTGGAATGTTTTGGCACCAGCATTGTGAAAGTGGTTTTGAAGCACGTGGAGACAGCTGGCTGGGGTCAGTGACAGGTTGAAGACCTCAGCAACCCAGCACACCACGCCAGCAGCCTTACACACACATCAGTGGGGGAGAGTGTGAAGGGCTGGTGGTCTACAAGGAGGATAAAAGCTGCTACGGGAAGGAGGTGTCTCTGATTGGTGGGGTGGTGGTTGTAATCTGTGGAGCCAATCCCAGCTGACATTGGGTGAAAGGTGGGGTAAACCGCCTGTCCATCGCAGGGCCACACATAGACAAACAACCGGTCACACCCACACACTCACACACCTACATAAGGAAAATTAAGAGTCACCACAGATGTGAGATGTCAGGTTTTCTCTGTGATGCTAATTCCCAGGAACCTAAAACTGTTCACCTGCTCACCTCAGCTCCACTGATGTAGACAGGAGTGTGTGTCTTTGCCTATTTTTTTTCCTAAAATCAACGATCAGCTCCTCAGTTGTGCTGACATTGAGCAGTAGGTTGTTCTTTGTGCAACACTCTGCAAGATCGTTGGTTTCTTCCTGATTGGAATTCTCATTGTTGTCTCTTCAGGTCAGGGGTTGCTGTGCATGTACAGCGTAAAGAGGATGGGGCTGAGCACACATCCCTGGGGGGGCTCTGGTGTTAAGCACTAGAGTGGAAGAGGTGTGACAGGGGGTGGGGGTGGGTTGGGTGTTGAATGCTGATCTGAAATCCACAAACAGCATTCTGATGAAGGTGTTAAGGTTACAAGACATTACAGGTACAGGTATTCAGAATCTCTCCAGGATGAAGCCTACTGACTGGTAATGATTCAGGCGAGAATCTATCATCAGTCCATTCCGACCACCACAACACACCATATGTGAGCCATTTTGCTGAAAATCTTTTTCTGTTTAATGTTTATGCCATTAACATATATTGAATTTTTATTACAGAAAAAAAAACAAACAGAAAATAGTTAAAACAGCCATGTGTCTGCACTTTCAAGTTAGTCAATTGCTTAATGAGTGCATGTGCATTGAATGGTGGTATACCAAATCAAAATGGCCCTATACTAATCCTATTGTATTACATGGGATTAGCTAAGACTACAGAATGCTTCACAGCAGAAATAATGATGCAACATTGCCCTGAGCGCTCTCTGTTACTACTCACAATTGTGCTTTGTCTCTGTGCATGAGGAAATGGAGAACAAAATGTAATCACAGCTTAAAGCTGTAGTCAGTCTGCAGGATGGGCTCAGTCCACATGAACAATGTCATATTAATTAGTACTCTAGTAGAAACATGGTTGGAATGATGGCTGTGTTAATGGCAGAATTACACATTTCTGCCTGATGTATTTCTCTTCCTGCAGCTTGAAGGAGAGCCTACAGCACAACTAGGATTTATGACTTCCAAAAAATGTAAATATGAGCTTGTGAATGTAGCAGAGCCCCAAGCACTGAAACATAAATCAAGCATGAGTCCGATAGCACTGGCATATAATGTCACATGAACAGTGACATAGGGCTGCAATGAGGGACAACTGTTCATATTCAATATTGTATATTTCACATTGGGTCATAATTAAGTAACACGATGAGATTTTAAATTCAAACTCTATTGGACGTCCTCAATGGTTTAGTAACAACCCAGCAACCAACATGTGATACTGAATGTCATTAACAGTATGTGATTAGTTTTCAGTGTTAGCTTGTTATAGCTATTGTTGTGAAGAATGGTAGGGAGACGCTGTTGACTGTGGCATGAACAGGGACTTTATTTCTCTTCAGTGGCAACGAATACAATACATGGCCTTTCAATAACTTTTGTGCTGAAACCTGACTACAACAGCATGCACTTTACTTTGGCACTTTTATGAAACAAAGCAGTTATTTAAAGTACTTTGTTCATCAGCAAGTTACAAACCTGTTATACACAAGTTCACAATCATCAAGTTGGGCACACTGTTGCATATTAATAACACTTGCACAGCACCCAATAAAATATTTTGCAACTCCGCCTTCTAAGACGGCAGACTTAATCTGCAAAGCCCTAAATACTGTTAATATCTGTAAACTGATTCTGATACATTACTCACATGCCAAGTTTAAACATACACAATTACAGTGTTTCATTTAACATGCAATAAATAACACACAGACAAACAGTAAATACATGATGGCATGGTATGACAATGCAATTCAAGACCTGGGGCCTGTTCCATAGCGTCAGATTACTGGGTTATATTATTTTTTCTCCATGCTGATGATATGTTCGACTGATTTTGATAAATAAAATGAATGAAATATGTGTCCCATGCTTGATTTCCCCGCCCCTCTCCTGTTGTTCTCCAGAAAATTACTGTATTCGCCTCAAAACGGGTAATCCAATAAACAAGAGCAAAACCAAAAAACTAGTCTTATTTTTGTTTTGTACCGTTTCTTCGCTGTGTACATGAGCAGTTTAATCTAAAGCGTGCACTTGCCTTGCAAAAGCACGCAGATTCAAAGAAAAGGTTTGTAAGTGGAAAATTAGGGCAAATTTTAAGGAATCTGAAAAAAAATATTAGATACTATCTCAGTAATTTTCAAAGTTGATCAGTAATGATAGGCAGACTTAAGCCTGTATTAAAAACTGGAGTGACCAAGTGCATGTAAAAAGCTGGACAAAGGTAAACACAAGCATTTTAACTATTATGTACATAAATGTAGGTAAAAAAACATGAATATATATAAAGTGCATAAACAATACAATGAACAACAACAAACAATGTCTTTATACAAGTCAGACTGTTTTGTAAATTGTAAACAAGTATACAAAAGTGCTATGTGTGAATACACTGGAATAAATATTAAATGATAAATTTAACGCTTGCTTAGGTGGATATGTACAGTGAATGCATGTATACATGTCAATATATAATACACCCGATCTTCTGCTAGGCCTTTTTGATTAAGGTGTCTGTGTTCAGACACAGTGCTGTTGAGAATGGTGATGGGGGCAGCGATGTGGGGCTATTAGCTCCAGTTTTGAGCAGCTCCCGGTTTTCTGGCCGCACCAGAGGAGCAGCTGTTCAACCTCCTGTCTGTATCCAGACTCATCAATGTCCCAGATGAGGCAGATGACTGTTCTGTCGTCGGCAAACTTCAGGAGTTTCCTGTGGTGCAGGCATTGTGTAGAGGGAGAAGAGGAGAGGGGACAACACACAGTAAGTATCTGTGTGAAGATGGGGGGCCAGCTGGTCAGCACAGGCTTCCAAACAGGAGGGTGACACACAGTCTTAACCTGGTGCCTTCCTGATCCTCTGTTTGTGAGAGAGCTGGCATACATCCTACAGATTCTGAGTGCAGATTGGTGTGGAGGGGTAGATGGTGCCTTAAACCTGCTGTAAAACAGTTGATGGCTCACTAAAGAGTGCGTGTGTGTGTGTGTGTGGGGGGGTGGTCTCCTTGGTGATGTCTTGCAGATCTCTCTACACTGATGCAGGGTCACTGGCTGCAAACCTGTTTTTCAGCTTTTCACTTTTACTCAGATCTCCTTTGACAGTGTGTTTCTGGCCTGGTTGTAGGATTCTGTCCCCAGTTCTGTAGGCCTCCTCATGGGTCAGGATTTGTTCTTGTGATTGGATGTGATAATGTGTGGGCCTAAGTTTTTTAACATCGATCAGGATCACTGATGTAAGCCTCGAAGCCCCCTCCTCCTGCTTCACTTGTTATTGGTGATTCCATAATCAGAAACATTAAGTCAAAAACGCCTGCAACGTATTGCTTCCCCGGCGCCAAGGATTTGGACATGGTTCAACAGATCCTGTCTTTTCTGAGTAAACAACATCTCGCCAGAAATGTCGTCATTCACATTGGCAACAATCATACTGCCTATCAGCAGTCCGAAGCACTACAACTTCATTTTAGCAGTCTTTGTAAATAACTCATAGACTGCAAAAAATCTATTTTTATCTCTGGACTGATCCCCTCTCCGCTGAGGAGTATGACATTTTAGCAGGCTGCTCAGTGTCAACACATGGCTACAGTCAGTTTGGTCCTCACACAACTTAGTTTTTATTGATAACTTCTATATATTTTTATTCATTCATCAACATTTTTAACAAAGATGGCATTCACCCCAGTCCACAGGGCACCCGTGCCATAGCTAGCACAGCTAAAACACACCACCGATCACTGAACGGAACTATTCCTCACTGCCCATTCCTGTAATTATAATGCACATATCTCCCGAAACTTCCCACATAGAAATATTAATAATTTACAAAAGATTCAGACAAATGTATCAACTTTAGCTCCCAGCATAAATATGCTTAAAATGGCACTCCTCAATGTGAGAAGTAAGACTTTACTTTTAATGATTTTATATTTTTAACCTCTCGCCTGCAAACTAATGACCATAGCCAGCTAGCTGAACTGTGTCTTCCTCAATACGATTGTTTCAATAAACCCAGGGTCAGTGGTCATGATGCTGCTGGCCTAGTGAGTGTGTACAGGGAAAGCTTTAAATGTCATTAAGTACATTGTGATGAAGTTCTCACTTTTAAACTTGGAGGCCTCCATCTGCTCATATTTGCTACAATTTACACACAACACCCACAACCACCCGGACAACAAACTAGTTCTTTGTGGGGATTTTAATATCCATAGTTGAGGACTCCACTAAAGTTCATGCTTTTCTTTTCAACATTGCTTCTTTGTTTAACTTTAAACAGAATCACCAGTTATTCATACTGTGCCACCCTGCTCCTCGTACACTCGCGTCTTTAATGAGCAAGGCATCTTAAAGTTATGCGTACTGTTTGAGAGTCAAAGCTTACACCTGTCTGATTCACACACCAATGATCTGGAGGTTTCAAACTGATCTGTTTGTCTTTACTAAATATTATTGCACCTCTTAAGGTTAGCTTGAAGCCCTCAGCAAGAAAGCAATCCTGGATAAATTACATTATTTGCAGCTGTAAAAGATGTAGGAAAACAGAACTCAGATGGGAAAAAATCCAGTCTCCAAGTACATTGCAAAATTATGAAGGAGTTATTATTAAACTATAATAAGGATGCGAGAGCACACTATTCTTCAGAACTTATTTCTGCCCATCAACATAAACCTAGATCTTTATTTAAGTCTGTGGATCAGATGGTAAATCAAGCCGCTCCTTGTGCCTCTGCTTTTGTTTTGATTTTATTTTACTGATGAAGTGGAGTCAATCAGAGCCTCGATTATACTGAATTCCTCTTACTCGGCAGTTCCTCAACTACAACAAGGTAACCAGTATTATCCTATTGCCTTGTCTGAGCTTTTAGGAGCAGTATCGCAAACGAGTGTCTTCCAGCCCTCTTGATGTAATTCAAACAAAGTTTTTACTAAAGGTAATGAAATCTTCCCGGCCCTGTTTGTTTTCTGTTTTTAACAGCTCTTTATCTAGCGGTTGTGTCCCTCATTATTTTAAAACTGCTTGTGTGAACCCATTACTAAAAACCCCTGGTATGGATCCCTCCCTCCCTCAAAATTATCAACTAATTTCCAAGTTACCTTTTATATAAAAAGAATTAGGAAAAAAAGAGTCACAACAACAACAATTTCTCACTGTGCTGGAAAATACACTTTTTGAAAGGTTTCACTCTGGTTTCTGGGTCTGACTGAGTCTACCCTGCTTAAGGTCACCAACCACCTTTTAATGTCTGCTGCTGATGATGACATGTTATCTGTCTATTTGACATGATCAATCACAGCATCCTGTTATACAAACTGAGGCACTGTTTTAGCTCCTGTCTCTTAAAAGTCTACTTTCTTCTGACTGGCCAACCTCCCAGAAACCTACTGCGGGGCTTGTGAGCCGCTGTAACCAGTTCTCTTTATACACCGAGTACTGTGGCCTGCATCCCCTCATCTTCTTGCAAGTGGGCTCGATGGCATTTGACAGCTTATGCAACAGCAATATGGGGCACTGAATTTGATGAATTTACTGTTTAATAGGTTGGAAAAATGGTAGACGAGTTTTAGAGTGTTTCTAGGGGTCGGTCTAGGTAACGTTACCAAATCTGCTTGGCTTGGCAGTGCTGCTCGCGGCCTCATGATTACTATACAGAAACACACACCTTTTTATAACTTTCTTCCCTGATTTAGTTGAAACTGGATCTTATTTTATGGAGTTGCAAGATGGAGAATTAGCTCTAAAGTAACTGCTAACTGTAGCTCCTGTTAGCTAGTTAGCTCAGTTAGCTGTACACTCTGCCTGGACTGGGAGCTCAAGCACTCAGAGTGTGTTGGTGTCTATCCGTGCCAAGCTGATATCAGATCTGCACAGAAGAGGAATAAAACATTGGGAACCTAGTATTGAGAGCAGTCTGAAGCGTGTTGATGCCGTTTTGCTCACAGGGATTACTTTTACAACTTTTAATATGAACATCCAAAATTAACATTATTAAGTGACAGAAAATAAGGGAAAGAATTTTAAACCTCTCTTTAAACCACATTATAATTTTCTGTTCTCGTCAGCAAATGCTAACTAAAAACAGCATTTTGATCATGTCACACAAAACTACACTGTCCAGAGAAAAAGGCTGTTTTTACTGTAGCTTAGCGACATTTACTGTTCACTTCATTTATCCTTGTAAAGGCCAATGTATACTGTGTAAGCGGGTTTATGTTGAACAACAGAGGTTGAGAAACCTAGAGGACATCTACATACAGGCCTTATTCAATTAGTAAACCCAGAATCAAATGTTACATTCCAAACTGCAGGGAAAAACAGTAGCAGCAAAGCTTGATACATTTAATAAATAATTTTCTCCTCATTACCTTTTGTGCTAGTAATTATTTTGTCAACGCTGCTGTCATATGTTCCAGTCAGAAGATATCTCATTTAGGACAGTGACTCTATGAGGAATATCTCACTGTTAAAATTAATTAAAAGCACAGCAGCTTCTGAGACGACACTCTCCTGTATTTACATAATCATAGGAACATAAGCCGAGGCGTTCATTATTTCTTGCGGGGCACCTTGTCGCCAAGTGGTACTTCATCCATCAGTTTCTGCAGAGAAACCACAGAATCAGTGTGTTAGTGTCACGGTATCAAAAATAAAAAAAATTATAGACCGTGTGATATAGAATGCATAATGTTGTTTCGGGTCAGAACAATATATAGGAACAAGGTTTTTCATGAACTTTAAGGCTATTTTCTTTGCACTTTGTAATCCATCTATAACCAGGTATTTCCACACCTTATAATTGTTTTTTACTTTTCTGCAGTATCAATGTAATCTAGCGATTGTTTTCTATACATCCATGGGTTTTGTCACAGGGGGGACTGACAGTGTCCCACTTCTGCTATAGAACAAGGTCTTCTGGTAAATCTCCCTATGTGAACAGATACAGTGGGTACGGAAAGTATTCAGACCCCTTTAAATTTAAACTCTTTGTTTCATTGCAGCCATTTTCCAAAAATCAAAAAAGTTCATTTTATTTCTCAGTAATGTACACTCAGCACCCCATCTTGACAGAAAAAAAATAGAAATGTAGAAATTTTTGCAAATTTATTAAAAAAGAAAAACTGAAATATCACATGGTCATAAGTATTCAGACCCTTTGCTCAGTATTTAGTAGAAGCACCCTTTTGATCTAATACAGCCATGAGTCGTTTTGGGAAAGATGCAACAAGTTTTTCACATCTGGATTTGGGTATCCTCTGCCATTCCTCCTTGCAGATCCTCTCCAGTTCCGTCAGGTTGGATGGTAAACGTTGGTGGACAGCCATTTTCAGGTCTCTCCAGAGATGCTCAATTGGGTTTAAGTCAGGGCTCTGGCTGGGCCATTCAAGAACAGCCACGGAGTTGTTGTGAAGCCACTCCTTCGTTATTTTAGCGGTGTGCTTAGGGTCATTGTCTTGTTGGAAGGTAAACCTTCGGCCCAGTCTGAGGTCCAGAGCACTCTGGAAAAGGTTTTCGTCCAGGATATCCCTGTACTTGGCCGCATTCATCTTTCCCTCGATTGCAACCAGTCGTCCTGTCCCTGCAGCTGAAAAACACCCCCACAGCATGAAGCTGCCACCACCATGCTTCACTGTTGAGACTGTATTGGACAGGTGATGAGCAGTGCCTGGTTTTCTCCACACATACCGCTTAGAATTAAGGCCAAAAAGTTCTATCTTGGTCTCATCAGACCAGAGGATCTTATTTATCACCATCTTGGAGTCCTTCAGGTGTTTTTTAGCAAACTCCATGCGGGCTTTCATGTGTCTTGCACTGAGGAGAGGCTTCCGTCGGGCCACTCTGCCATAAAGCCCCGACTGGTGGATTGCTGCAGTGATGGTTGACTTACTACAACTTTCTCCCATCTCCCGACTGCATCTCTGGAGCTCAGCCACAGTGACCTTTGGGTTCTTCTTTACCTCTCTCACCAAGGCTCTTCTCCCCCGATAGCTCAGTTTGGCCGGACGGCCAGCTCTAGGAAGGGTTCTGGTCGTCCCAAACGTCTTCCATTTGAGGATTATGGAGGCCACTGTGCTCTTAGGAACCTTAAGTGCAGCAGAAATCTTTTTGTAACCTTGGCCAGATCTGTGCCTTGCCACAATTCTGTCTCTGAGCTCTTCAGGCAGTTCCTTTGACCTCATGATTCTCATTTGCTCTGACACGCACTGTGAGCTGTAAGGTATTATATAGAAAGGTGTGTGGCTTTCCTAATCAAGTCCAATCAGTATAATCAAACACAGCTGGACTCAAATGAAGGTGTAGAACCATCTCAAGGATGATCAGAAGAAATAGACAGCACCTGAGTTAAATATGAGTGTCACGGCAAAGGGTCTGAATACTTATGACCATGTGATATTTCAGTTTTTCTTTTTTAATACATTTGCAAAAATTTCTACATTTGTTTTTTTCAGTCAAGATGGGGTGCTGAGTGTACATTACTGAGAAATAAAATGAACTGAAATGAATGAAAATGAAATTATCAGGGGATCAACAGATGATTATCAGGGGATCAACAGTTGACCAAAGTGATTCATAATAATAATAATTCATCCTGAGGGGAAAATGAATGTCTGAACTGAATGACAATCCATCCAACTGTAGACATTTCACTCAAAACTACTAATTTGAACCTCATGGTTGCACAAGAGGAAAAGTCGGGTGATCAGTTTTTAGTATAGTATAATTGTAGTATGAAATTCATAGCAATCTATCCAATGGTTCTTAAGAGATTTACTTCTGGATGAAAGTGGTGGATCTCCCTTAGAGCCACAGCAATCAAAAACATGTATTCACACATTCACTCACTTCAAGCAGTCTGCTGTAGTAGGTGAAGCTGTCCTCTCCGTCCCTGCGGGCGTCATCAACCTTGTACCTCCTGCAGGCCAGCATCAGCTCATTGGAGCTGTAGAGGGGGGCGGGGTCGATGGAGTGGCTGTTGATCAGGCTGACCAAGTACTCCCGGTAATGCTTCCTGGATACCATCACACCACAATGTTAGCGTGATCACACAGCAGAACATGGGAGCTAGTACTGATGATGAAACTCTGAATTGATTGCTAAACAGATGAAAAGTCAGAATAAGATTTTGTGATTTTACCTGTTAAAGTAAAATGGTTCTTTTTACAACCGTGGTCATTTTTGTTGTAGTTTTGGCCATCCTTTGTATCAGTTATGATACCGTTTTACTTATTTACTTTAACTGCAGAGAGAGCCAGGCTTTTATTTAATGCAGCTTTACATTAGATTAATAGGAAGCCTCCATGTGTACCTGTTGTCTTGATACATTCATCATGATGTACATTTCCATAGCAACAGTTGCATCAGTACCATCCATCAGAACAGTCATGTCATGCTTATCACTCTGCTGAGCTTACTGTCTTTTTAATCCCTTAATGCCCTTTACAGAGGAAAAAAAATTGTCTGCATAGTCCAAGTTTTGGCTACTTAATTTTTCTAGCTGTAAATTGTTGTGAGACCAGGTATCTACATCTGCTTGTTGATATTTCACCAAATAAATCTATTTTTTGTTATATTTTGTTGTAATATTCATTAATTTAGCTGACGCTTTTATCCAAAGCGACTTACAATTGCTACATGTGTCAGAGGTCGCACGCCTCTGGAGCAACAAGGGGTTAAGTGTCTTGCTCAAGGACACATTAGTGTGTGTCACAGTGGACTTGAACCCTCTCACACCAAAGGCATGTGTCTTATCCACTGTCCCATCACCACCCGTTATTGTTTTCATTCACTGACTGAGTATCTTTTAGCTGCTTCTATCTTTAAGTTTTTTGTTTGGTGGTACAGTCAATATAACTTTAATGACAGAAGTTTAAGAGTAATGGGAAAAACTAGAAAGCAGAAGTGACTGACATGGCTCCAGAAATTTACGTCATACTGAATTTATCATTTGAGCCATTTTGGTTCCACTCAGTTTTACATGGAATTAATTTGCCAGGTAACCAGTCAATTTATGGTATTATGTTTCCAGTGCTAAGTCACTAAAGACACCTTTACAATAAAAGGCAAAAAGAGCAAAAAACACCCACAGTGTCAGTGAAATGATTGTGAATACATGTCCATTAATATCGTCCACTGCAATTTATAACAACATGTGTGCCAGACAACAGTAAGTAACCAGGCAGCAGCTCTGCAAAATCTAATGGATAAAAACATCAATTTAACTTTAATGTTCACCTTTATTTTCTATTGAGGACTACAGTCAAAGTGACTATGACTTATTTTATTTACCATTACACAAGGTTTACTACATTCTCTGTTTGAATGTTGGATTAGTTATCTGTGAGGCAGAATTCCATATTTTCAGACTTACGCATTTATTATCCTGTTTATTTGTTCGTGTAACGGCCCTGAAGAGTCAGACATAGACATAGGCCTTGACAATTTTGGATGTCATATGCTGCCAGCTGCACAGACCTTATTTCCTTACCAGGACTGGATTGCTCCGGTTCTTCCTAAATCCATCACTGAGCTTGTGCGTGTGTGTAAAGTCCTTAGTAAAGAGTAGCTAGTTTCAAACTACACCATTAAAACCACATGTCTGACCTAGCAAAGACTTTGATGATGTGTATATAGGTTGCTAGGAAACATGTCCATAGACAAGCAAGAGATTATGCAAACAGGACTGTAGCATATTAAGCTGTAACATAGCTGCCAGTTTGGCCAGTTTTAGGGGGCCAAACAATATATTAAACTTAACTGCCAGATCTTTGTAAGACCTTTGTAGGTATAACTGTTTAATATATATCAGCATAAATGGATACATGTGTGGATGTGTGTTTCAGTGGTAGTAGAATTCATGAAGTTTAGGATGAGTGGGGAGTCATTGTTGGTGAAGCGTGTTGGAAAATGTATTATTTTGTGAAATGTAAATTAAATGATTTCCAGTTGAACATCTGTAGCACTGACTGAACAAACCTGCTTTAAGTAATATTTATAAAAAAACAAACAAAAAAAATTATAGCTTTTTTTATGGAGTCTCTGAAAAGCTTTTGCACATACGGTATACAGTAACACGGAATAAAGCCATCATACTCGCAGAGTCCAGCGTGTCGAGGTTGGGTCTGAGCTCCACAGGCTGAATCTGGCTGCTGCCCTCCCTCATCCTTCTGCTCTATCACGCCACACAAACCTGAAAAAAACAGTGGGCTTAAAAAGAAGATAAAGAAAGAAAGACAAAGAGCAGAGGGGCTAAAGGGAATTGTCACATAAAAAATGAAGCGTGTAATACTCTTTCAAAGATCAAATGCCCTGAAGAGGAGGTATTAATGTCACTGTAGGATGTAGGATGATTTAGGATGTATGCCCTAGGTAAAATTAGACATAATAAGGAATGAAGATTAAGGGAAACAGGAGTTGAGAGTTGTCCTTAGGGTTTAAAGTTAGAATCAGTATTAGATTCAGGCTAAATGTTTCACAATATCTTTATGGGGCTGTATTAGGGCTGAAAAATTTAGGGGGGAAAAAATCTCAAAAAGATTTTTCTGCCAGATATTGTGATTACAATTTGCTTAAATTTTTTTTTAATGAAGTTTTGCTAAAGTTCAATATTTAATGCCAGTCTATTTTTGACGGAAACTGCATCAAGCAGCACAGAGAAGATGAACCAGGCAGGAAGTCATACGTCAACGTTATGTAACGTTAGCCTGCAGAGAGCAGACAGGCCCGCAGAGAGCCGCTGCCTGTGTCGGTTTGGCTGGCGCCATTAACCCACGTTTTCCTCTAGTTTTGTTTGTTGTTGTAAATTGTATGTGCCCTGTGCCTGCTCTGATTGGTGAGTAGGACTGGAACAGGAGGAGAATGTGATTGGCCAAATGTAAAGTAATTGGTTTTAGCATGAACGAAGAACCTTGCATTTAATAGTGGCTAGAACCTGGTTATTTAGGTCCATGTTGCTCTCTTATGGACACACCTCTTCAGTTTTTTCTGTGTTGAGATTTTAGTTTTATTTATGTCGCATACACCATGATTCCATTAGCACAAAACTAAGGTCACTTCTTTGCTGCATAGATCGTGCTGCCTCACAGCACACTGGCACAAAATGAAACTATGTATTCACTATACATATAGCTACAGTGCTAGTCAACTCTGTCTTCAAGTGTTCATCCACATCACACCTTTTGTCCTCTCTAATCCACCTTTTTGGGTTATGATTAGTTTTGAGCGTAAAAAGTGGTCCACAATTTAGACACACTGACTTCTCCTGTGCTGATCCTGGTTCTTTAGAGAAATGTGACTAATAGGTATTGAGATGTGTCACTAGCAAAGGAAAAAACAGCTATTGGCGCTAGTGGAAAAGTCAAGGGATCACCAAAGTCACTGGGAATCATCCTCTGGGATTCAGATTCAGTTTGAACCAAAGTGTTAGACTGACTTAACAACAAATAGCCTGACATTGGCATCCTTAGGGCCATGCTGCTAACGTGTACTTTTCACTACAAATCACCATGACTTCCTACAGGTAACATGTTGGTTCAACAAATGCAGCAATAAAAAAAAAAAAAAGCTAGTCACAGGCTCAGTAAGGCTTTATATCTCTTCACAAAGCTCCTCTGCCTAAAATGTGACTGCTCCATTAGATGTTTTTTTTTTACTGCAAAACCACAACCGATAATCCAAATATTACTTTCTGACAGGCCTGAACTGATTGCCAAATCATTTAATACACAAACAACAGCAAGTCAGTTTCATTTAGCTCAATATCACAAATCTATATGCCTCGGGGCTTTACAATCTGTGCAGCATTAAACATCCTCTGTCCTCAGTTTGAATGAGGAAAAACTACCCCAAAAAAAACTTTAATGGAAAATAATGAAACCTCAGGAGGAGCAACAGAGGGATCCCTCTCCATTAAATAGGCTTGAAGATAACAGATTATGGTATAAAGAAACAAAAATCAAACAATTCAGCTATTTGCAATGAATACAATATCTGATTACTGTAATGCAAAGGAAGAGTGGACGGAGAGTTTTGCTTTGTATTCATACAATCGGAATTTGACCATCAATTAACTGTAAACTGACTACAGACTGCTATTCTTCTACTTTTTTGTCTTTTGTTAAGATCATTGAAGTAAGCTTCTGGCTGTGTTTAAGTCTGTATCAGCATTCATATCAGCACCATTAACCCCAATAACCCAACATGTTAATTTTAAGTTTCACGGTAGGGGTTTAAAACAGTTTTAAAAAGTAAAGCACTAATTCTACAACTGGAAACGTTTACATGGAGTCCTTGCCTACCTGTCTGTGTTCCAGGAGAGGGCTCAGTGTTGAAGGCCACTCCATTATTCTGTGAGGTATAAAGAAAAATAAGAACGCTGGTTACTCACATTAGTCTGTTTTACACTGTTTCTATGGTAGCCAAGAGATAAAAAACACAGTATACAAATCACATTTCCTGAAACACAATAAAACTGAATAAGATTTTATAAATAATGCCAAGGTGCTGATCCTGTGACGGCCATGACTGAAGGAGCTGTTCATTGTACTCACTCAGTCACAGGTAGAGTAAGAGATTGTTTAATAGTTGTGGATACATCAGGCACTCTTGGTAATATAAAATGGTGCTTTATGAACAAACTAAAGATGATATGTGTGTGTGTGTGTGTGTGTGTGTGCGCACCTGCAGTAAAGCCTGCAGCCTGGAAGGTTCCCAGTCTCTCAGGTAGAAGAGACAATCTCTGGGATGATGGGCATGTAATCCAGACACACTGCACTCGTCCACTGCACAGGTCTAACAGGAGCACAGAAGAAGAGGAGAGCGACACCTGTCACTTGTTCAGGTATGTGAAATGTAAATCACCTCTATTGTAACCTTAAGGTGCATTCACACCAAATGCACTTTTTCTACCCATGAGAGGTTCATTCCTTTAGAGAAGAATTTATACTCAGACAATTTAAACATTGTTTGAAAAGAATAGTCAAAGTAGCAAAGACAACTCCGGCACACTGTCTTGACTTGCAAAAAATATATATATTGACACTGCGTTTCGGTGCTAGATGTTCATCAGGCAAAACAAAAAAAAAATCATGAAAGAATTTGGACTCAAAGCCAAGCTTTTATTTAAGATAATTGCATAAACGCAAACTTGATTTTTACAGCACCACCTTGAGGTTAGAGAGTTATATGTACCCGACTAATGGCTGAAATTTTCAACCCACCTGCCAAATTTTGTGTTTTAAGGTTTTTGCTACACTTGGCAGAGAAAAACAGTCAAGTGTCACGGGATCCAATTAGATAAGGATAATATTTGACTCGCTATGATCTGATGCCCATTGCTGGCAAGTCGGACTTGGTCACCTGGGGATTTAAATCCTGGAACTTCAGATCCCAAGAGTAGGTGACTAACTAACTGTGCTATTGGTGAGACCATGTTTCCACACCTTCTCACAAGCGGAGGCAGTACAAAGAAAGAATCCTTAAAAATTTGGGAAATGTTATACTATTTATAAATATGCTTTTTCAGTAGGTCTCATACAGCAACTTTGGTATATTACAACTTGATTTAAGTTGCAAAACCATAGGATAGGTTTGAGTTTTAGCAATGCTAGCCAGGTGTAGGGATGGTAAAGTCTGCTAGTCAGTCAGTCTACTACTTTGGTCCAGACTGAAATATCTGGAAAACATAACAATCAAAAACCATTAGATGGATTGCAATTCAGTTTTGTCCAGACATCCACAGATGGTGAATCCTACTGTCTTTGGTGATCCTAAGACTTTTCCCTAGCACCATCATCAGGTCAACATTTTAATGTGTTCAATACTTTATGGCTAAACACCAACAAAACTGCAAATCAGCTGTTTAAGGTTAGTGCTAATTTACCAATATTTGCATTCCAACACGCTGAGCTAAGAAGCTAAACTAAATACCTGCTAAACGTCAGCATTGCCATTTTTGGAACAATCAACATGGATGTCGATGCTCAGGGCCCTATTTTAGTCGCCCAAGCGCAATGACTAGTGAATTAATTGTTGGCACAGAGACTGTGTAGGAGTGAAGTAGAACATAGATCAGAGGGTGTGGTGAGTAATAAACACATTCTGAACCAGTCACATCACTGGTCTGATCACGCTGAAACAGCTGAGCCAGTCACAATGTCAACAGTCAAACAACAATGACTCAACAAATGGACAGAAGCTTCTTCAGGAAGTCATTCTGTTGTCTGGATGACGCAATGACAATTATCAATACATAATAAAAAATTTGTTTGTGGAACCCGTTACTATGATCTTTTGTGTCATTATGCCTTCAGATGGCTGCAGGGATTTCATGAAAAGTAGGAGAAGCTTTCCATTCAATATAATAGAATGAACAGAATATAATGAAATAGAGTGGTCTGTAGCTCATAAGTGAGCAAGTAAAGTTGGTGTAGAGTTTATAAGTGAGTGGGACTCACCCATCACCCAAATCCATATTTCCCAATTTGTAAAGACGCTGAAGAGATTCTGTTTTCCCGACTTTACGTTGTGCTGTCTGAATCTCAAAGTGAACATGTCATAATGTGAACAGTCAGTTCCTCACTCTCTCTATAACCCGCAATCAACTCATCAGCATGGTGCTTTTCATTCTTTCGTATGCTAGCCAACCGCCGACCGAGATGAGCAGGCAGACGAGAAAAGAAACGGGTCAGTGTTTCGTAGTGCACAGAGAACCTGATATGTAGAGGGCAGAAAGGAGTACCAGCAGCTTGTGAGAAGTGCCGGTACACAAGAAAAAATATGCCAAAGAGGAAAATGTAGAAGTGCTAGTACTGTGTACTGGTGAGTACTGGCCCACTTCAAGCACTGAGTATATTAATCTATATATTATTATATGCTATACCTGTATATAAAATCTGCTTATGGACAACTATTACATTAAGAGGTCATATTATGCTCATTTTCAGGTTCATAATCTTATTTAGGAGTTGTACCAAAACAGTTTTACATGGTTTCATTTAGAAAAAAATCTTTCATCCATAAAGTTTTAACTGAGCTCTGTCTGTACATCACAGTAACAACTTTATGTCCACTGACTGCCTGGAGGGTAGCTAGTGTTTGGAAGGGAGAGGAGAGGCAGCAGGCGGACATCTTGTCACCGTGTGCTGCAGCTCAGTGTGTTTTTCCACCGGTGTTTTTGAGGATGTGCCCGACTAGTCGATAGATGAGCATTTTGCTGTGACGTCACAGTGAACAAAAGGAACAAACAAGCTGTTTTCAGGCAGTTCAGAGCAGTGTTTTCTGTTGGAGATGGGAACTCCCTTTGGGCTGGACTCTGGGCTTTTTCACTTTGCAAACCTATTACATGCACAAAAAAAAAAGATAATAAACTCATTAAAGGAGAAGGAAAAAGCCTAAAAGCATAATATGACCTCTTTAATGTACATCAAAACTATTTATGTACACTGATAAATGGTATTGCACCATACTGTATGTAGCTTTCTGATTCATTATATACTTTTTCAGCTTATTCTTTACTCCTATTTATTGGATCTGCATATAGCTTTCTAAATTTGATTTATAGCTGTGTGTCAGTTGTGCTTGTTCTAGCAAATAAATATTCAGACAAACAGCCTGTTCTCGGCAGACTGGCAGTGACTAAGCAGGATCATTTTAAGACACACTGATGCTATATCCAGAATGAAAAGCCTTTTCAGAATACATTTGTCTTCACCTTTCATCAAGGTTTTGATTCTTTTTTGCCTAAAAGCATAAACATAAATTGTGATGTGTTTCAGAAAAGGAATTGTTGAACACAGCTTTAGTTTTGTTTCAGACAATGGGCCTCGTTTATGAAATGTTGGCGTGCACACATTTCATCAGAACTTGGTGCACACCAGAACAGTTGATTCATTCTTTTCGTAATTCTTCTTCCATGTTTTCCTTCTATATACTGTACATTTCCACAGTGCTATTTCCATCAGTACATAATCATCCATCAGTAAAATCATTTTTACCAGGCTTTTGATTTGACTATTATTTGATACTTTGACATTATTTGAAAACTGACTTGTTTGAGATTTTATGGTAATCCCTCAAGCCAGAATGTTGTTGGTCAAATTAGTAAACCAAGGATTACTGCGCCTATAGTAATTTGGGCAATTTCTTATGCCAACACAATTTAAGAACAAACCTAATTTACAAAGACTTTCAGAACAAATAAGCCATCAACAACAAATCACATAATGTTGCATGAATCAGACATAGAACTGTTTTTTTAACAAGAAAGATCTAATTTCATTTAACAGAAAAAATATGATAGAACCAAAAATACATAATTGTATGTAGGTCTATACCCCATTTGAAATTGTTGAAATAATCCGTAATTACAAATCTATCCTGGGTAGTAATTACAGCATGCTGCTCAGGACTACAGCATGCGTCAAACTTACAGTGTGGAAAGGGTTGTTGCAGCCGCTGCAGAACTGGTAACGACACTGTGAGCAGCAGAAATGCATGCAGCCTCCTTTAGACAGTGCGTACTGAAAGCGACAGTTAGGACAAGCTGGAAGAAGGGAGGAAAGAAGGAGTGATAGGCAGGACGTGAATGGTGAGCAGGAGGAAGAGGGAAAACAGAGAGAGAAGGGAGGTAGTGTCAGTTCATTATGGTAAATACTTGTAATTACTGTACAAATATGCAGACAGTGTGCATGGATTAATTATTCACTGAATGAATGTGTTTCGGCCTTGTGACTCGTGTGGTCGAATTGAAGGCAGGCTGCCTCACTAAAAAGACTAGGAGAAATTTCCTTTACATTTCACTTGAACACCACCTGCCCAGCTTTACTTGATCTGCACTCTGTGAAGGAGGCAGGTTAAAAAAACGTTAAAAGAAATATTTAGAAAATGTAGCATAGTCAGTGCCAATCCTGGTAGAAGAATAGAAATACAGTCTGAGAACAATATGATTGGTATAAAAAATCTAAGGAAAGCAAATACTTATAACCCATGTTGACTAAATTTGTCCTTTTGGAAATGACTGATTACAGCTAATGATTAGAACTGCATTTATACAGAGAAGATTTTGCAGACATGACTACAGATATTCAACTCAAATTAAGCCTTTTAAGGTGCCTGATGTGTTGTTTTTGTACACCTGCAGCTTAGTGACATTGGTGGGTATTAGTACAACCCACCAACTTCATCTTTTTCAAGGTTTAATAAAGTTTGGTGTAGGGAGGTGTAGTGGTTTTCTGTTACCAGTACCAGTCGTTGTATGTATGATTAATTAGATTGGGTTGTGGGCATGATGGATATACTGAGTGTATTGTTGTCTAACCCCCAGCTGGTTACATGCTGTTGTGTTTAACAGATCAAAAATCACAGCACAAGCTAAAAGAGAACCACAGATTACCTTCAATAACTGCTGCTAGAAAATAATACTGTAGAACAGTGTGTGTGTGCTTACTAATGCCGTTGTCTCTGAGATATCCAGCCAGGCCCTGTCTCTGGTACTCTGGATCATTCTCCCTCTTCCATGACTGGTATTGTTCACAGGACAGACCTGCATGCTGAGACTCCCACTATAGAAACAATACAGAAACATGCACATACTATACGCTCCACCAGTAACAACCTCTCCCTGATGAAATCAATGTTTTAAAAGGGGTTAAAAGGTACTAAATACAAATTTCTAAAGTTATTTGTTTTCATTTCAGTTAAATTGGCTCACTATGTGTAACTTCTTCATTTCACTTTAAATTTTAAGAGTGGTCAGTCATATGTTCATGTTGAAACAACTATTTGTTTTTACAGTTTGTCAAACTACAGTGAAATGTGGAGTGCTGTCCATGGACATATAGCAGTGCAGACTGAATGTGAACAAAAGCAAGGCTTAATGGATACAAATGTGCATTCAAAGTGACATTAGACTCTGTTACTAACATTTCAAAGATTAGTTTTGATCAATGGCACACATACAGGATTATGTCGGGCATGATGGAAAGGAAAACGACATTAATCTAAAGCCCTGTAAGCAAATTAGTAAGTGATTAGTTCAGTGCACACAGATTCATCTTAACTAATCTGAGGATTATGTCAAGCTCTGTTTCCTGGCTGCGAATAAACCGCTGTGCATGAGTAACAGCTAGGTTACTGTAATTCAAACAGTCTTTTCAGTAGTTAAGATCATTTATAATTAAGCTAAAGGAGCATTTATACGAAAACAATCATTAGATAGTTCACAAATTCCTCATGGCTGCCCATGTAAAAACATTTAACACGTTAATAACTATGAATAATGATAATATGCATAATATTTTACAGTAAACATTTACAAAAAAATGAGCTACCACATGAATAAGTGATACATTTGTCAGAATTATTTTCACGGCTTTTCACAAAATTATTTAGATACATTTATGTGTGTAGATGAATTAATTCAAAAAATATATAAAAGAGAAAGGGAGATCAAGACGATGGAAAGAGGCACGCAATACTTACAGGCTTCTTACACTGAGCACAGAAACTGTTGCGACACTGAAAACAGGTGACCTTCAGCTGGTCTCCATCATAGATGAACCCATATGAACACTGAGGAGAGGAGAGGACACAGGAAAAGAGAGGAGGAAACAGGAAGAAAGGGGAGGTAACAGTAGGAGAGGAAACAGGAGGAGAGGGGAGGAAATAGGAATAGAGTGTGTGAAAGAGGAGGAGAGAAGAGGAAACAGGAGGAGAGGGGAGGAGAGAAAGAAGCAGAGAGGAGAGGTAACCGTAGAAAGAAGAATTATTATCAAACATGAAAAGACTGGCTTGAGAACATTGTTACAAGTGGTTAGTTGTCATTTAGCTCCATTTTATTTTCAAAAAAATTATATTTTCAGGCCTGGAAAATGGTTCCTTGCGTTTAGTTGAGTAGTGCTGGTTTAAAGACAGAGAATAATTGTTAATTCCTTCATTATTAATTAAAAGCAAATGATTATAATAGAAATATCAGCTTTGCTAAAGAGACTGCACACAGGTGAAATGAGTGTGACAAACATTTTTTTCTACTTTACAGACAACTACGTTTGCATCATAATGCATTTCAAGAATAAAACAAGAAATGCTGAACAAAGTGCAAAAGAGCAAGTCATGAAAGGTCATGAAGCACAGGATTAACGAGCTCCGGTAATAGGATTTCTCCCACACGAACGGGCAGAATACAAAGTTCTAACTGAGCAGTCTGATGTGTGTGCTTATTCTGTAGCAGCCTGCTGTCACTCTGCCTTCACACGCTGCAGGCATCTCAGGAACTGAAGGAGAAGCTGTTCATACAGCATGATAGCAGCTGTGGATATCAGATAATTTCCATCAAACCTGTCGGAGCGTTGCTTGCTCTGGTCATTGCACCGCCACAAAAATAGAGGCCTTAATGTTATTGAAGCTTCCAAAGATGATTTGTTTCCATAATTTGTGTGGAAAAAGCCAAGAGTGACTCATCATGTACTCACATGACAGCACCAGAGAAACTTGGGGTCCTTGATTAGAGCCTGCTCGGTCAGCTTCTTATGGAACAGCTCGTAGACTTCTGGTTCCAGACACTCTCGCAGCTGAAGCACATAATAATAATAATAATAATGATAATAATAATACATTTTATTTGTAATGCACCTTTTTATTTAAACAAATCCCAAAGTGCTACATGATAAAACAGGTAGTGCTAAAAATAAAAACATAGAGAGCATGAAAATAAAAACATAAACAATAAGGCAAAGGAAATGGGCAAGAGTTCAATCAAACGCTCTCCTAAAAAGTTGGGTTTTAAGGCCACGTTTAAAAGCATCCGCGGTCTGTGGTGCCCTGTGGTGGTCAGGGAGAGCATTCCACAGACTGGGAGCAGCTGAGCAGAAAGCCTGATCCCCCATTGTACGGAGCTCGGTCCTGGGAGGTTTCAGGAGATACGCTGAGGCAGATCGGAGGGTACGTGTGGAAGTCTGTGGGGTGAGGAGTTCCTTGAGGTAGGGGGGGGCTTCACCATGGATGCACTGGTGGGTAAGGAGGGAGACCTTGTACTCAATCCTGAGTGAAACAAGAAGCCAGTGGACTGATTTGAGGATGGGGGTGATGTGGTCGTGCTTGCACACCTTCAACAGGATCCTAGCAGCGCTGTCCTGGATGTACTGCAGCTTCTGAATGCTTTTCTCAGAGACCACGGTGAGGAGCACATTGCAGTAGTCCAGCCTGGAGGAGACAAAAGCGTGGACAAGCTTTTCCACATCTACAAGAGCGAGTGTGGGACAGAGTTTGGCGATGTTCCTGAGGTGGATGTAGGAGGTCTTGCAGAGATGTTTGATGTGAGCCGCAAAGGTCAGATGAGAGTCCATTTTAACACCCAGGTTGGTGGTTGATTTTGAAAGTGGAATATCTTGGCCAGAGAAGGTGATGCTGGTAATGTCAGATGACCGAACCTGGTGTAGAGTGCCGACTAAAATGGCTTCATTCTTTGAGCTGTTTAGCTACATAAAGTTTTACTTCATCCAGCCTTTACCTCCTCCAGGCAGGTGGTCAGAGTGGATGATGGCAGTCTGAGATCTGTGTGGAGATCTAGGAGACTGCTCAGAGATTGGTTGTACTAGTCAACCTACTCAGTGACGGAGGAGAAATCAGCAGAGGAGAGATGTTGCAGGTGTCGGGCTGATCTTTTTCAGGTCCCTATAGTAGATTTGACGCTTGTCTTTGGTGTATATATATATATATATATATATATATATATATATATATATATATATATATATATATATATATATATATATATATATATATATATATATAGCATAGCAAGACAGCAAAACATCTATTAAGCTACAAATTCACACTTTTGAGTTTCCAAATGGCTCTCTGGCAAAAATACAGTCACTGTAGCAATGCAATCTGGTGTGATCCTTTAATATTGCCAAAACTGTTATTGGCAGATTAAATTCAAACTTCACACCAACAGCTATAACTTTGGACTAAAATAATTTTTATTTAAATGGAATAACAAAAAATTACAATACGGTCTAGACCTCCTCAAAAAGTGCACTGAGATCTTTTCTGTTAGGAACTGGTGCTAAATAAATAAAAATGACTTGAACTAAATTGAATATAAACTGGGTATTTGTGGTAAATACCTGATGAGTTTAATTTTGCTGTACTTGGTGGAAGCTGACCAATAGCAAATTGTCTTGACAGTGCTGACCCGGAGATGGCACAATGGCGGAAGCTATCATATTAGCTGGGTTACAACATCCAGTTTTATATAACCTTGCTCTGCTGAAGACTAAAACTGCTCCACACAAGAGGCTCAGTCTTCAGTCAGTTCTCTGTAGAGGATGGTACAAATAAGTTTGCTTCAATTAGCACACTATGTGGAGAGTCCAAGTAGCTACTATGTCACCAAACTTTCTGACACTGTTGGATTGTTAGTCTGAGATTTTACCTCCCTCCCTCCCACATTTCTCCTTGGTTCAGCTGCTTCCCTACCTGGATGTCCAGGGTGGAGAAGTAGCTGTTGAGGTGTTCAGGGTCGTTGATGTCAGGCTCCCAGCAGACCGGACACACCATGTCTTTGATGTGTTTGTCCCTTACAGCAATGGTGAAGTGCTGCTGGAAACAACCACAACACACTGAACACTGGCATGACGTCAGGGACTGCATCTAAGAGAGGAGAGAGGGCAAGGTAGGTAGGTACATGACTGAAGATATGCTTCAATGCTTCAAAACTCATAGACATTCACTGGCTCAGTACCTTGCTGTGGGGGAAGACAGAGAGGCAGATGGGACACTCCTTAGCCAGCACTCTCTTGATAAACTCCCTGTCGTGGGACTCTCGCACAGCCTGCACTACGTCTTCCAGAGAGTAAGGGGCGCTGTGCTCCAGAAGGAGCGAGAGGGCTAGCTCGCAGCGACCCCAGCTGGGAAGATCATAAACCGCTAGTAACCTCCGACATATGCGCTGGAAAAGAAGAAAGGAATTATGTTGAAGGACACAACAAAGACGAACTTTACACATTCTACCAACTATCCCAGCGTACAAGTGTCCTCATGTTAGCAAACAGTTTCACCCATGCAGCAGACACAGAGCAACATTAGTGTTAAAGTGGATGGTCGAAGGATCCCAGATGCATGGATGACCTGTTTACACAAGACGTTGCATGGCTAACTTACCTTTTCCTCTCAGCAGCGTCTTACTCCCTGTATAATTTAACGACTTGTGGCATTATCAAGAACTGCACTGGACACAACAATTAGGATTAATTTAGAGTAATTTCTCTGGCCACCTGACTGACACTCACTCTCTTTTAGCTCTGGTTGGGTCTCTACCAGCTCCTGAGGGAAATATCTGGCTCTTTAGCTGCTAAATGCTCCACTGTGTTCACCAGCTAATCTCTAACTGTGTCTGTCTGCTGTCTGCTGCTAAACAGGTAGTGTACAGTTGGTTTATCACAGCCTTACTACTACCAGCGACAACTTTCAAATAACACATAGGCCATTCACAAACAGTGCGTATGAATGTTTTATGCACAAATCTAGGATTCATTACCTCAGGATTTTCTTACCTCAATTCAAGTCCACCATTGTTTGCCTGGCTACAGAGGAAAACAGACCGGGCTGTGGTTTCCAAACATTCTCAGAGCTTTGCCATCCCAAAGGTTTAAAATAGCATCATAAGGCTAATATTTTGAGCGCACACATATTTTGTGCACAAAGTAAGAACATTTCTACGCACATATCATGAAAGAGGCCCAGTGTCATTTGTTGTTAATTGTTGTAAAAATGAAAATATAATTTAGTGCAGCTTTAATAGAAATATATAAAGATGCCATTGTCCTTTAAACAAGGCTTGCACTTATTTAAGTAAGAATGATATGTTTCTGTTACCATGGAAGTTTCAGATTGACCCAGAACATTGTTCTTTTATCAACCCTAAAAGTATTTTTTTGTTGTCGGGTTGAATTCACTCATTCATCTGGCCTGACAGTCTCAGTGGTTCAGGACCAAAACACATCTCTGTCTTTCCAATATGAGCTGGAGCTGCAACGATTAATTGATTATTTGTCAACTATTAAATTAATCGGCAACTATTTTGATAATTTATTAATCGGTTTGAGAAAATTTTTAAGAAAAGTTTCAGCTTCTTCAGTGTCAATATATTCTGGTTTCTTTACTGTTCTATGATAGTAAACTGAATACACTTCGGTTGTGGACAAAACTACACATTTGAGGTCATTATCTTCGGATTTGGGAAACACATTTTTCACATTTTTTTTTACATTTAATAGACCAAACAACTAATCGATTAGTTAATAAAATAATTGACAGATTAACCAACAATAAAAATAATCGTTAATTACAGCCGTAATACGAGCCCTCCTGGCCTTAATGTGGAGAAATATTTTGCATTACCATGACATGAAGGAGCTGGATGAGCAACTAAAGAGTTTATGAATTTCTAAATAACAGACTGATAACAGAATCAAGATGGCTGAGGATTGAACTTTTACAGTGACTGGGCCCAGGCCTGATTAAAAGTCTCACCTGTCTATCGGGGTGATGGATGTCTACAGGAGGCTCAGGCTTGTCACTCCAAATGCGCTTGTGGAAGGGTTCCAGTAGGGGCCTCTGCAGCAGGGCCAATGCCCCTCTCACCTCACCACCACTCTGCTTCAATACCTCATGACAGTGAGCCTCATCACTGAAGCCCAGCACAAACAGCTCCTTTACCTGCCAAGTTAGGGTAAAGAATAAATGATACCATCTCTAGACAACGGGAAGACGGATGGGATATTTTCGTGCATCTCTACACATTTTATGGAGGCATATTCGTCACCTTGGCAAGTCTGTCTCTCAGAGCTTGTCTAGCAGCTCTCTCAGTGTCGCCCCCTGCTGTCAGCCAGGCCTGCTTGGCCTCTGCTATGGACAGCTGGACCGCACTCTCTGTTTCTGCAGGGTCCACCTCTTTCCCAGGATCCTCAGCAGGAGCTTGACATGACATGCTCTGTGTTAGAGGAAAGTCAGACAGTAACAAAACACCGCTCACAGCGACAGTCAGAGGAATTTAACGATGTGATTTGTCAGGATTAGGCAGATATTTATTTGTAAAGAGAAGCGTACTGACTGTGTACTCTGTTGTGGTCTTTTCAGAAACAGACTGAAGGGAGGATGTTGTCACCAACGCCCTGATCTGGTCTAACAGCACAGGAAGCTCTGTCTTTAACCACTTGCAGGGCAGGATGCTGCTGTCCCCAGCTACCCTCATGCTTGTGTACACCTCCTCTGGACTTATTCCTTTCTTCTCCCCATCCTGACACAGACACAAAGGACAGATACACTAGTGTACAGATAATGAATTTAGTCTAGATCCAAGGACAATGAACGGTGATGAAGGTGACTTGCTCTAATCAGCTGAATCAGTTTCAGCCCCTCCTCCTTCATCAGCCTCTGCCTGCAGGGGTCCAAGTCTTCAGGGGCGGGCTTTTTGGGTTTGATTGGCAGAGCGGGGACCCGTCTGACTGGAGAGGGAGGCCGGAGCTTCACAGGCAAGGGTGCGGGCTCTGGACGAGCCAGGTCACACATCTCACACACTGTAGCAGGAGAGTAGTTCAGATAGGTACAGAACTGACACACCCACTGGGCAGAGAGACACAGAGAGACAAAGAGAGACAGAGAGAGACAGAGAGAGGGAGTCACAAGCTATATAAAAGTCAAAACATTACTTGCAAATGTTTCTGTGTTGACTGCATACCCTGAGCTATGATCAATCTTAGTCACATCCAAATGTGATTTTGTGTAGTATAGGATCTTTAAGAGAGCCCTCCTGAATGCACTTACAGTTGAAATGATGGGGGACAAAATCCACAGTCCTCGTTCTGTGCAAAAATACATTTCAAAGGTCATATGAGTCTTCAACAGTCTGAGTTGGTTAAACAAATTATCTCCCAAAGTTACAGTCCTTTTAGTACAGAATTCCCTTTTTGTGTTTCCACAGACAGTGTTTTGTTGCAGTGGAGGGACAGTAACACAAAAAACTGTAACTTTGGATGCTCACTCGATTTGTTTAACTCAGACTGCTGAAGCCTCACACAAGACAGAAAAAAAACACTAACCTCTTGAAATTTTGAAATATACAACTTAAAATTGTAAAAGTAATCTCCATATGTGTTGAATAGTATATTTGTCTGTCCACAAATTGCACATTTCTGCTGCAGAATAATCCTCTTTTGGACCTGTGACAAGTCAGAAAGAACAAACTCCTGTATGCTGCCTTCATGCATCATGTCTCCAGACTATCAGGCAAGAAGGTTATAATATACCTTTCACAGTGATTTAAAATACCTGCTGTTATCTGATTGTGCCTGCACAATCTATAAAGTTTCATCTAGAGGGCTGAAGCCCATTTCCATTTGTCATTTTAATTTTAATTACAGTACACTACATAGAATTTAAATGTGATAATTTTCTTAATTTGATTTTTCTTGTTACGTGTCCCAATCTGTATCAGGAAACCTCTTACATATTAGCAAGGGCCTTATTCTCACTGGGAACGATATTTCTAAATCTGGCTTTTGCACTCTATTTAAATTCATAATTACTACATAGTTTCCTTTTGCTGACCAGATGTAATACAGATAGTAATAAAGATCTTAATGAGAATAACAGATTCTGTTTTCTGTATCTCATCCCCAGTCATTTCCTAGAAAAGAACTGGTGCGTATCTGTAAATTCTTATGTTTAAATTACAGTAATTAGAGGTGAATTTGAGAAAAGTGTCCCATTGATACAGTTACAGTGATTGATTCCATACGATTGCTAAAGTGTCATTCAGCAGGTCTGAACTAGCTTATCAGACACATATTACAGATAATACACTCACAACATCTGCTCATTTAAAGTTAAGTTGAGTCAAACAATATTATGGTGATGTAATTTAGAAAGGGCTTTCTCTCCGAGAAGAAGTAATTTTCGTTCCCAGTGAGAATAAGGCCCTTGCTAATATGTAAGAGGTTTCCTGATACAGATTGGGACACGTAACAAGGAAAATCAAATTAAGAAAATTATCACATTTAAATTCTATGTAGTGTACTGTACCTGAAGATGAAAATTAAAATTAAAATGACAAATGGAAATGGGCTTCAGCCCTCTAGATGAAACAGACAACAGCAGGTATTTTACATCACTGTGAAAAGTATATTATAACCTTCTAAAAGTTCAGCTTTTCTTTCTTGCCTGATAGTCTGGAGACATGATGCATGAAGGCAGCATACAGGAGTTTGTTCTTTCTGACTTGTCACAGGTCCAAAAGAGGATTATTCTGCTTCCTTACAGACAGACAGTAACTGTGTTTGTCCTTCAAGGAACCTTTGAAGATGCTGGTCAGCAGGAAGCTTTAGTCTGTGGTCGATGTGTTTATCCTGTAGCAGCCATGAACCAGATCAGATGATGTGAGGATTCATTTTCTGAGTTGTTGCTGCAGAGCACAGTATCCCTCTGCGACTCGATCTAACTCACTCTGTTGGCTATGGAAGAAATTGATTTAAAATGACATCTTCTCGGAGAGAAAGCCCTTTCTAAATTACATCACCATAATATTGTTTGACTCAACTTAACTTTAAATGAGCAGATGTTGTGAGTGTATTATCTGTAATATGTGTCTGATAAGCTAGTTCAGACCTGCTGTGTTGTTAAAGCCCCTGATAACTAGTATTCCCTTTAAAAATATTTGTTTAAAACTCTTAAACTGCTTCATCAGGACTGTGGTTGTGATTTTATTGGTGCAAGGATGTGGCTTCACCTTTTGTCCCACTGAGCCCTGCCAACTTTGAACCAGGGAGAAATGTGCAGACAAAAACACATTTTACAAGAGAGAATTCAGAAATTATTTAATTTGGCAAAAAAGTGTATGTTCAAGTAGGACCCAATAATTCATACTAAGAAGCTCACTGAGCATATTAGACATATCAAACAGGATTACAAATGTACTACAGAGCCTGTAGAGTCCTGAAAGATTTTTTTTCTTTTAATATTGTTTGCACAAGATAATAACATGTTTGCACAAGACAAAATATCTTGTGTGCACAATTAGGGGCTCCGTACAAATGAGTAACAGACGAAAAGGTAAGAAACTGAGAGGAAGACATCACCATTATTACATTTCTGTTCTGTTAGCTTGTGCTGTGCCTCTTTTTTCAGCTCACCACAAACAGTTAACTGACCTGGCTGTCAGGGTCACCAGGCATGCCCAGTACGGGTGCTGGTGGTCTTGGGGGGGTGATGGGTGGGTGTGATGGGGTCACTGGAGGTCGTGTGGCCAAACGAGGTCTTTCACACACCTCACACAGAATACTGCTGGCTGCATTCACCATGGTACAGCTCTTACACTGCCACTCTGAGAAGAACACACACATAAATAAGTCAGTTCATTGTATTCACATTATTATCAGTCACAATCATGTCCTCAATGGCCATTACTTGCTTTCATAACAAGTAAATAAGCCGTGGCCATTGTCATGTGACAATAAAAGTGAAAATAGCGACAGGCCAGAGAAAAAGACAGAAAGTGTCCAAAGTAAAGAATCACCCGTAAAAAGGTAATGTTAGAATTTAAAGTAAATCATGATTGCTAGTTGAGATGAAGGCTAGCAAATGCAAGGCACAATTCTTAGTTGTAAATGTATAACCGTGCGTTAATAAAGTTCTCCAACTGGTTAGTCCATAAGTGGTTTTACAGTGAAAGGAGTTACACAGCTGACTCCGGTACTGAGGGCACCAAGTAAAAGTATTTCTTATCAGATGAATTGATAGAATACTCGATTACTAAAATTATCGAGGTTGTTTGTGTTCTCCTGTATTTCCAGGAAGTCAGTGAATGTGTTGAGCCTGTCACTGAATGTGTGACATGTGTAAAATCCTGTCAATCATTTATTTACAGCCCACAGTAGCCTGTATTACGCCGACGGCTTCAGAGCGATGTGTGGGCGATCGAAAATCTGCAGGCCGGTTGAGAGCTGCTTAACTTGGGCTAGAAGAGCAGGGAGCAGCGCTCCAGCTTTTGGACAAATAAACACCCGTGGTTGGACTGGATTATGCTCTGACAACTACGCCGTTTGCTCGAGGGAGGAGCTCGGAGTGAACTAACATTACTTGGGATTACAATGTTGATTTATCTTCACTCGAGCTTCTCAGCAGCTAGATTCCGTGCACATCCGGTTCAAGTGTTGTTAGCGTCGTTTGCCACTACTTCATATTTTATAAAAACCGGACAAAACTGGACATAGCGGGGAGAAAAGAAAGCGAGGAGGTTGAACTACCTGGTGAGTTCAGAAAACATGTGTACGTAACTTTATTCCAGCTATCGTTGTACTTTACTGTGACCAAGTTAGCATAGCCCTGATCGACCCGAACTCCATTCAGAAAACAAACATTTTAGAAGTTGTTGTCCTGCTGTCTTCCTGAAAGACCTGACAAAGCATGAATTCATATTTTTAACAAAACTGCATCATATTGTAGTTATTTCGGCATCAGTTTGATCCGTTTATTGCTATTTAATTTTGCACAGCAAAATGTTTACTTTGGGTTCACACAGCTGTAGTAATGGCGAGTTGTGTGTGAACACTCCAGGGATGTCCAGCGATAAAACCACCGCGAGGTAAGCGTTGCATGGATTAAATTTGCGTTTGGTCTGAATGCACAGTAAGAGCTATTGTCCCTGACATCACAGCTCCCAGGGACGCACAAACCCCTCCACCGTTAAGGTGGTGATTCTGAAATTATCATGAGTGCATACTTCAATGAACACAACAAGCGTAACAACTTGCCCCAGTGTAACAGCAGGGGCAGTTAGTCAAGGGTAGATGCCATAGATTTATAGATTAATTTGCTTTTGTCTCATTTTCTATTTCCATAAGAAACTAGAACGTAGTAGAATAAAGGAGATGGGATGGGATGTAATAAGAGACAAAACAGACCAGTGATGGTGGCAGGGGGAGATTCATCTGCTTTACAGCTGATCGATTCCAAGCGAGGGCGCTCACACTCCTCACACAGCACATCCTGGACAGAGTTGACTTTAGTGCAGTGAAGGCAATTCCAGGTGGAAGAACTGAAACACAGGATGAGGGTTATACTTTAATACCAATTTGTATAAACAGAATATACCATTAGCTATCACACCATATCCATACATATTGATTTTGTTCACACATTTCTCATCTCACAGTTCACTCAGTTCCAATACTTTGAAGTCCGCTGTCTAAAGTGTCACTAGACTTTCCTGTGGAGCATTGGCTGTAGAACAGTAAGATCAGAGTATTCTCAGTTTATATTGCCAGCTACTTTTGATCCTGACCTGTGACTATTCCTGTTTTGGGATGATGATGATGATGATGGGACAGCTGTCCGACGGTGGTTGGCCCTCTCAGGGTTGGAGTGGTACAGTCTGTCACAATCTGAGCAGAGCCCCTGGAGGCAAGTGAGGCAGTGGGCAGAGATACGGAATATTTGACAGATAGCGCAGTTTTCTGAAACAGAGATAACAATCCACTGTGCAAAACACTTTCACAGTATTGTCTACTATAACCTATAATGTGTGAAAGAAAGTCTCAGCAACTGACTCTCTATAACCTTTAAATTTCCGGATTTGCTTAGTTGAATAGCCACAGACGTTTGGTCGAGGTCAAGGAATTAAATTGTTTCTAGGATATTTATTGAATACTGTCAACACACTCCACTTGTCTGTTCAACTGCAGACACTGAGCAACTAAAGGTCCAACTCCTCTGCTCATTAAACGCCCGCTCCTTAATGTCTAAATCTATCATTATGTGTGATATAAGTAACTATAATACTATTATTTTCTATGGTGGCATTTTCAAAGGAGGAGTTAAAACACACAAGAGGGAGTAAGGGATTGATATAGTTAAGGAAGTAACTGTGTTCCTGGATGGTAAAACGACACTGCATTAGTACAGTTGCTTAAGTATATCTATGGTATGTAGTTGCTGTGGTTGGCTAGCAAATAACAGGCCTCAGGGCTGTTAGGAGGTTGAATGTTCTAGGTGAGCTCTTTAGCGTGAGTAAGTAGCTGCTAGGTGGGCGTATCAGGAGGTTACTCTTGCTTTGCTAGGTATTGCTAGTGAATTCTAAAGAGCAACGCACTGGCAGTAAAAACTGTGTCAAAACGCCCATGCACATTGTTTTCTAGTACACTGTGGTTTTAATTGCCTTGATGCATCAGGATATGCCACTGTCCTATTTTCCAAAAAAGCAGCTATTTATCACAACCACTCCCTGGCACATCCAGGGCACAGTACTTAAATAGTACATATTCTGTCTTCTGTGTGCTACGGGCATCAAATGATGTGCATCAAATGTGCTGTGCATAGCTGCCCTTGGAGCCTTCTTAGGTGGTTAGTTGAGCACAATTAGCAATTAATTGAAATGCATCTTTAAAAAAAAATAAATAAATAGTGTTAACACCTCAGCTTCTAAAATATGAAACCTGTTACCTGCAAGAAACTTTTTCATCTCTTAACAATCATGTTTTTTATCAACTTTATTAATAAAGCACTTTTTAAAACCAAATTACAAATAGTTTTACAATAAAAACTACTAATACAAGCACATACAATGCTAAACAAAGATATACAGAAGAATATTTTCAACAAATACCATCAGTTAAGAAAAAACCATAAGAGAAAAGTGAGTCTTAAGAAGAGATTTAAATGAGGACGTTGACTTTACTGTCCTGAGATCCTGTGTGATGGCGTTCCATAGCTGAGGGGCCCGGAGAGTAAGGGCCCCATCACCTTTAGTGGCAAGAATTTGGTACCATTAATAGGGCCCTGCCAGTGGATTTTAAGCCGCGATCAGGCTCATAGGGAGTTCACAGATGCAGATCACAGATATAAGCTGAAGTGTGACCATTCAAGGCATTGAAAATTAAAGAGCAGTAAATGAATCTGTATATATGTATGTATGTATGCATACATACATGTATACATGTATATATGTGTCTCATACAGATATGTCTGTATATATCTTGCATTAAATTTGTCTTCCGTCTAAGTGCAGAATGCAATGATGCTGAGAAGACAACGTTGGTATGTGGGCTTACAAGAAAAACTGTTCTGACACGCGTAATATGTCACCAGTGTGTGGCTCTTTTTACATTCATAGCACAAATACAATAGAGTGCCACCATGATGTAGACACATTAAACACTAATCTACTGACATAATCAAGTGGTCAGCGGTTTCTCGTCTCACCTGGGTGTTTGTTTGAGGAAGTGGAAAAGACCTGAATGGACCTGAGACTTTGGTGGTTGGAGGACAGAGAGTGGCCACGGCTGCCCTCTCTGGAGGAGTGATGGTGCAGGGGGAAAGCTAGAGACTTGGTCTGACTGTCTGAATGGCATGAAATGGAGGGGGAATTGTAGGCCACAGCGTCAGTGTTGAGACCCACATCCTAAGAGGAGAGAAGAGTGGGTAAAAGCTCACTTGAAAACAGGTCATCAGAAACTTCAAAATAAGAGATGGTTCATTCTGAGTAATGTAATAATACATTTTTTATCAGACAAGATGGCTCTATCACCTCACCAGCCCATAGTACGAGGATAAAAAAGGAGGATAATAAAAAGGGTATATAATTATAAGACTGGTCTCATAACTAATTCAATATTAAAATCATAGGGGAGCGCTTAAATAATATATCAGACAATTTTGGTATAATTCTTTAACCTGACAAAAAGGCTTGCAGGCCTGAAGAGGCAAAGAAATGGAAAATAACTGCCCTCATAAGAGGTCTTTACTTTCCTCACATTAAAGGATAAGCTCATGGCTGTCTTAAAGCAAAAAGGGAGGTGCCCATATGAACATTGAAAGAGGTTTTGCTTCCTCCTGTTCATATCACTCATTAAGAGATCCCTTCATAGTGCACTTTAAATGTAAGTGATATAGGACTAAATCACCAAAAGTTTATCTGAAGCTAAAATGTGGCTTCAGCAGTCCAAGGTAGTTAAATCAAGTGGCTATCTTCCAGTTACAGCCTTCTTGCTTAGAGGCAATTTTATACTAAAAAGACTAACTTTGGATGATACTCACTAGATTTGACAGACTAATAACAGACTGCTGAAGGCTCATTCACTTAATACAATACATATCAGGTTTGAAACTGCTTTACTTGATGTACTCTTCAAATGAAATGCGTAACTGAAGGGGTGGTCACGGGGCAGTGGAAAATACACATGCATTTTGTGTGAGAGACCTGTGGTCGATTTCCACTGCAGCACATCCACCATGTGTGTGTCCCTGAGGCAAACACTTAACCCCTAGTTGCTCCAGAGGCGTGTGACCTCTGACAGACGCTTTGGATAAAAGCGTCGGCTAAATTAATAAATGTCAGATTTGATGGTGGTACCTTGTGTCTCAGTGTAGGGATGATTCTCTCATAGAATTCAGGGTGGGGATGAGCCTCCTGGGATCAAACCAATAACAAGTTAATAATGCCTTTTAATTCAAGCCAAGCAAAAAGTACAATGCACCACGTACACAACCTGTACATATATAAAAATAAAGCAGTTTTTGACTACACAATCACCATATCAGCTTCTGAAACATTATCCTACAATCATTACAACAATAATTGCTGTATCACAACCCGACTGACTGGGTTATCCCATTTGCACATATTTGGTGATGTCAAAGCTCCAAACAAACTTGTGTTGAGATCGATGAAGTAGCACAGCTGTAGCTGCATTTATGCAGTTCAGGTGGTGCAGTGCAATTAGTTCAGTAAATGTGAAACTGAGCTATTTATGTAAAAACTGTAATTCGTAATATTAAGGGTCTGTGCTGAGTGAGTCTTACTAATGTCCTCCAAAAGTTCTTACAAAGTCCTTTCCTTTCAGAGAATACCTGCAACCATCACAAAGCAGCAATCCTCTGTTGCTTACATGGAGAATAAATAAACAATAATACGTCATTATTACTGAGGCACTGACTATTCATATACATCCTTTATTAGAAAAAAATCTACTGACATTTTAGTCAACTATTAGACCATCTGGACTGTATTCAGTGCGCAGGTGCTATTCTGAAGTCAGGAGTGTTCACACTTGTGTTGCCACACAGTGGTCTGTTACATATTATACAAAATAGAAATTTTTTAAAGTCTTCTTTGGCTCTACAGCAAACTAGGGAAAGTCTGACGCAGTAACAACTTTACTGGAGCAAACAGAGTTATAAGGAATATTCATGCCACTTCTGCAAACCCACGGAAATCAATAAAGCTTAAGTAGCTAATAAAAATGCAAAAAATACACGCACACACACACACCTTAATAAGCATTTCTAGTTCCATCCTCAGGCTCATCACTTCAAGTGTTACTGCAGCAACTCGGCCCACATCTGGATCCGTGACATCATCAGGGAAGCTGAGCCCATCTGGCTGCTGATTGGAGTAACCATAAAGACAGAGCACTGCTCGTCCTCCCTGGGAGTGGAAAGAACAAACAGGACGTGATGTGAACACAACTTTTAATGTTTACTTTCCCAAACAGTTAAGAATCAATTTAGACCTTTCTAGGTTTGTTACATAAAATAAAATGAGAGTAAAAGGGGACAGGATTAAAAGAAAATGTTGTTTAGGGACAGGGTAAAGACATATTTAGGACAAGATCAGGACAAGATTGGAAGGTCCGTAAAGATTTGTTAAAATGCATTTGTATTACTTCCTATTGTTTTACAATCTTTGGACTACTTAAGTAGCATATTTTTATAGAGCACTTGCTACACTCTATAATGTGTTTTTGTTACCTGAATACCATCAACAGTGGCTCTGAACACTGGGTTGTTGTGTTTCACTGTCCTCCAATACTTTGGCCTGTTGGGATTTGTCAAGTTACAGCCATACTTTTCCAGGATGTTCAGTGCTGTAGACAAGCGCTGGACAGACGCAAGGGTCTGAAGAAGAAGGAGAGAGAATAGTTGATTTGGCCACAAGTTGAATAGCTTTAAGGTTTAAGTTTAATCTGAAATAGAAACATGCTATTAATCTCAAATCCACCCATAATCTCAGTTAGGCTCTGTAGATCTGATTGGGTGTAGATTTGTATTGGTCTAAATATAAGGCAGATCTATCACAACATTGTTCACATTCAAAATGTAAATCCCATCTTTTCTCCTCTACCTTCTCAACAAAAGCAAGTAAGAGCATTTCCCAGAATGTCAAACTATTCTATAAAATGTGATAATACATTTAAAATATGTAAATATGGTATATGTGTTTCTTATCGGAGACCTCTCCACCTAGGTCTCTCCCCATAACTCCACATACATTACATACATACATTTTAAACATTTTAGTGATTTTCCACAAAACTTCAAATGAAAAGGAACATTCATCAATAAAAACTAAATTGAAAGAATTGAAAGCATACCTCGATGATCCCATATACACAAGTGTCAAGCTAGCATTTAAAGAGCAACACAATCAATGGACATAATTGTGTCTCCTACAGTAAAAGACATTTAAAAGGATATTTTAACACATCAGGTTGCTTCAATCAAATTCAATATCCAGTGCACCAACAATGTTGTCAGCAATTTAATGAATCAAATGGAACAGCAGTCCAAGTCACTTTGTAGTGCAACATTCTCTGCAAAAGCCACTTCGCTCTGATAAGACAGCAAATTAGCGACAAACGTGGCAAGCTAGAGAACGTCGAGGCTAAACTGGCAGATCTTAAAGATAGATAAAGCCACATGTGTAAAATGACTACGTAGATCAGTGACACCAAGTCTACGATGGACACAAACTAGCCAACCAACTACTATGGACATCTGATGTTAGACATTGGCTTTGAATGCTCTATCACTCATTCATCATATTCGACTGTTTAAAAGAAGTTAACGTAGCCACTGTGATGTCACACATTGATTTGCCTGACAGGTCACCATGGTAGCGACTTGTACAGCATACTCTGCTTCATTATCAATTTTCCTCTAAATTGGTCCATAATTTGCTAAATGAACATCCTGCTGTGTTGTCTTGAAACTAGCGATTGAGACCATAAAGTCATGAGGAAAGTGTTTACTGAGGTAATAAATCAAATGAGAAGTAGGGTCAGTTTCTCATATTCCATGCAATCTGACTTGCAACCAGTGGACTCACCCCCTGCTGGCCATTAGAAAGAATGCAGGTTACCCTTGCTCATGTTCCTTATTCTCAACATCGGTTGATGGCACAGAATGTATAAAAGAGGTGGACGTAGCCCATGGGTCTGAACATTGAAGTGATGTATTTATCATTGACGTCAGTAGGAGACTCAAGCACATTTAAAGAGGTTACTTTGTCAAATACCTACGTGTGTTGACTCAGCAGGGAGAACAATAAATGAAAAAAGGTGATCTACAGGATAATACATAATTGAAAATAATACTGAATGCCTGAGAGCCTTACAGAATTATATTCTATTATACCTTTTATATTTTGAATTCTCACCTGGAGCCTGATTTCTTTGTTTTCCTCTACACTAAATGTGATCTACATTTGGTAGATCCCTGGTAAATATTTAACAAACAAATAAAGAGCTATTAATTCTACTGTAATGGGCATTAATAATTCTCCTGTTATCTTATTGACTTTATTTTGACGTCTGTTGAATTCTGTTATATCAATGCTTCCTATCCTATTATCAGATCACTATCTTGTCACGTGCAAAATATTAAATTCTCCTGCAGAGAGATGGCATTTTTCCTACTATCGGAGGTCAACAATGGCCTTTGGTTGGAATCCATCCAAGTTCTTTTCTTTTCCCGTCTTCTACACTTTAATGAGTTAGGTAGATTTAAAGGACATAACTGACCTCCAGCAGTAAAACTTTCATTGAGAATTGAATGAAGGACCAGTATCCCAGGCTCAGGATGATCCCTGGACTCATCAACAACTCATATAGGGGACAAAAGAATAAAGGAACTGAGACTACAATGCAAAATTAAATGTACATGAATTGATATGACATGCCTAGTTACTGATACGAAACAGAGTCAACAGGCTAATATTGATGCAGGATTAACAGAAACTAAACTAAGAGGAAGTGTTTACACAGATTCCTCAATTCTGCCTGTTCTGGGGCTCCCCCCTCCTCTTCTCATCCCTCTCGGTTAAGGCAATGCACATTACTGACATGTATTGATTTTATTTTACTATTTCAATTGCTGTGCTTATGCTGTAAGTATATGCAGGGGTCTACAGCTTCGGGGAACATTATGAAATTCAGGGGAAGCTCTAAAATATACTAATTTTGGTGCCAGTTTTTTTCCTGTATAAAGGGTGAATAGTAAAGCACTTGTCAATGTGTGTGTTTATTCTGGCATAACAATTTCCGATAATTTGTGATTGCTACTGTGAGCACCACTAGAGTGAGAAAATTATGGAAAACAGTAGTTTTATAAGGTATGAATGTAGAAATGAAAAAAACCTAGCCTTGGGCAATTTGGATTCTTCAAAGCATAAATAATAAAACAGATTCAGATGCAGAAATAGATTAATTATTTTATTAATCTGAATAAAAATGAATGAGTCACTCTCTGTAATCCACATGTGGTGTTTAAAGGAGAAAGCTGTGAATGTGATTAACCATGATTGTCACACACTCAGACATCACCTATAGTGTCTGATAATGTATTCTTTCTCACCAAGGATGAGGCAGTCGGCATGCATCCCACACGGCATTCACACTTTACAACACGGGACATTATTATGAAACCAGCACAGATGTTTTGGTTCCCAGTTTTCAGGGCTAGATTATTAGAAGTCAACACAAATTCAGATGAATTCTGGTTTGGTTATCTTTGATCTAGATCAAAGATAACCAAACCTAGATCAAAAAAGGGTACATACGCAGTCAAATATGTTTGTGAGATGCCTGAAAAACCTGGTGAGAGACTTTGATGAAATCTAGTAAACAATTAGACCATGGGCCAAGGATAGAGAGGCTAGTTTATTGTTGTTTAATAAGTTATCTCAACATTTTCACTGTTTACTTATATTGTATTCAATTTTTTTCATATTTTCTGTGATCATTTTGATACAAATGAAAACATGTTCCATTAATAAAATAGCTCTGCGTTCACGTTTGTATTGCAGAATGCGGTATTGCCTGGGAACAGGGACAAAGTATCTACAGTTACAGTCTTATTAACATCATCATAAAGTGCATTACAGGGAGTCCATCCATCCATTGTCAACCACTTATCCCAGCTTACATCGGGCGAAAGGCGGGTACACCTTGGACAGGGCATTACAGGGAGTGATTATGTAAATATGGGCAACAAACAGCAACTTATTTGGATTTCATTTTAATATTGTCTCTATTTATCTACATACAAATTAGAAGTGGGCGATATGGTCAAAATCTTCTATCATGGTATATGTAATCAATATCACAGTAACGGTATATATTACAGTTATTGTTCTGTAACTTAAAATAACTATAATATACTTAATTACATTTGATTATTTTCTTATTTTATTTGGTACTTCCAGACAAACAAATACAACTCCTCCTGCTATGTATTGACAATTTCACTCTGCTTCTCCATTTTCAGCTGCTGTGGCTGCGGTTTCCATATCCTAAACCTTGGATTTGCACACATTAATCAATGTTTTTAATCTATTTTTTTCCACCAACGGAATAATAGCTTGAGACCATGTGGTTGGGGATCACAGCTTTCTCACCACATGCCAACCAGACAAGGTATAAAAATGTTCGTTGACAGAAAGGCTGCAAGTTAGTTTTGTGAAAATGACTAAGATCGAGTTAAAAGTCATGATCAGTGAAGGCCTCCTTCATGAAATACCCTGAGTTGTACATGTTTTTCAGATCTAGCGGCAGAGCTGTAACAGAGATCAACGGTTATCACAACACTTATCAATAGGCAACAAAACGACAAATGCTGTGGTCAGTGACAGCAGTTACAGCATAACAAATCCAATATGTATTTTATTTTGCAATGCACATTGATCGGCATCACTGTCAATTTGCCAGGTTTAGCTAAAGGTAACCAACAATCCCAATATGGTCTCAGGATGGATGTTAAAGGTATTTCCAGGTGGGAATGTTGTATGTGCACTTGTTCTCGCTCACCTCCTTCCGGTTGCTGCCAAAGCTGTTTTCTATGACCATGGTTTCTGCAGCGATGTGGCGGTATTTGGAGCAGGGCGGTAAAGGCAGATTAGCCATAGCCATTACCCCGGCCCGCACCTCCACCACTCTGCCTCCAGAGTACAGGCACACTTCAGCCCGACTCCGCACCTCCTGCAGCTGCTCCGACAGAGACGGCATTCTACACACACAGACACACACATGCAGAGTCAGTGACTGACATTCGCATACAAAAACTATGGTTAAAACCATACCGATACAGTGAGTCACATTTCTTTTTAAAGATTATCATATATCTACATATCAGAGTCTGAGAATTGCCTCACAGTTTGGTTTAATTTCTCGATTTATCTGTGGATAGAAACAGTGGCTTTGTGGGGCTGTACTTAGGCACTGCTATGAGCTAAATGCTAACACCCTGTGATGTTTAGCAGGTATGATGTTGACCGTAAGTTGAATGTTGACCTATGGTGCAGATACGATTCAGAAACATTTTCATATTACAGCTAAACAGTACACTAAATGTTCTGAAAACATTGAAGAGGTGAAATAGTCAACGGAGTAACAGAATCTTGATTCATATTTATTCGGCACTGCTTAGATTTACAGTTTGATCTGAGTGTCATGAGCCTAGTTTGTTGTTCTCTATGTCCGCAAAAGGCCTATTTCTCTCAAATATTGTTCACAAATCTGTGTTAGTGAGCACTTCTCCTTTGCCACATAATCCATCCACCTCACAGGTGTGTCATATCAAGATGCTGATCAGACAATGGGTATTGCACAGGTGTGCTTTAAGCTGGCCACAATAAAACGCCACTCAAAAATGTGCAGTTCCATCACACAGCACAATGCCACAGATGTCGCAAGTTTTGAGGGAGCGTGAAATTGGCGTGCTGACTGCAGGAATGTCCATCAGAGATGTTGCCCGTGAATTGAATGTTCATTTCTCTATCATAAGCAGTCTCCAAAGGCGTTTCAGAGAATTTGGCAGTACATCCAAACGGCCTCACAACCAGCATCAACCAGCAAGATTGTCTGAGATCAGCCACCCGGGCAGCTGCTTCAACAATCAGTTTGCATAACCAAAGAATTTCTGCACAAACTGTCTCAGGGAAGCTCATCTGCATGGTCGTCGTCCTCATCGGGGTCTCGACCTGACTGCAACTTCGCACAGCCGCTGAAGAGGAGTGGACCAACATTCCACAGGCCACAATCAACAACCTGATCAACTCTATGCGAAGGAAATGTGTTGCACTGCATGAGGCCAATGGTGGTCGCACCAGATACTGACTGGTTTCTGGACCCCCACAATACAGTGAAACTGCACATTTTCGAGTGGCCTTTTATTGTGGCCAGCCTAAGCCACACCTGTACAATACCCATGCTGTCTGATCAGCATGTTGATACTGTATGTCACACCTTTGAGGTGGATGGATTATCTCGGCAAAGGAGAAGTGCTCACTAACACATATTTTGACAGATTTGTGAACAATATTTGAGAGAAATAGGCCTTTTGTGTACATAGAAAGTCTTAGATCTTTAAGCTCAGCTCATGATGAATGGGGGCAAAAACAAAAGTTTTTCGTTTATAATTTTGTTCAGTATGGGTAGACAGGTAGGTAGGCCAGCCAATCATTTCTTTAGGACTTAAGGAAATTATTGTCCATGCTTATACAGTCCTGTGGCAGCAACAGATACTTTATTTTTGTCATTTTTGAGTCAGAGCATAAGGTCAAATCACAAAACAATCACACGTTGAAACCATCATTAAAATGCTTCTGAAACAATGCGTAGATGTAAGCTATGAAGCTTGCCGACACGTTGTTTCCACCCGAGGATCACTGGATATCCGTGTTAAAGTCTGCGGTGTGCCCAGTGACGGGGATGCTGCTGTTGTTGCTTACCTCTGGTCGGAAGGAGCAGCTCCCACCGTCCTCCCTCAGCAGCACGCTGATATTGTGCACACCGAGCTGCAGAACCACGGCGTCCCAAATGACGTAACGTGAGCAGTCTCACATTTTTACTCTACCAGTAGTGTAAAAACCCACTGAAACTACAAAATGGCAGTGACTGATGGCCAGTGTGTAATCCCAGCAGAAACACACCGGGGCTCCCTCCTTACAGGCTGGAGCAAAACATGGACGGACGCAGCGTAGGTGACGTCACCCTGATCGCACGTTTTATTGCTACGTCATTTATGCATCAATTGCAGCTTGTTCTATTTGTCTATATTTACCTATCATTTATTAATAGATAGTTAAGACTCAGATGTATGTAGTTATCTTACAGTTGGCCCTTTAAAAACGTTTAATTCCACATACACCACATACAGCCTGTATTCACATGTACCTTAATAAACACTATGTATTATTAAGTTATTTTATTCAGCATATTTTAAAAGTTATTTCCTGATGCCTTTATTTAGATTAGACATGTGTTTTAAATTGAGACTGTCTGAAAATCTTTTTAAAGAACGTCCAGGAATTAATTTACAGGATGGAAAGTTCTTGTCTGCCATGTGTGTAAAATGGAATCTATATGGATGGTATGTCTACTCTGCATGTGATGGTGTTAGAGGTGGTTATAAGTAGATAATAAATAAATAATATTTACTGTCCGCTATTCTTATGATGGCTCTGATCTTTTGCATCCATCCCCTTAGCCCCCCATCCCCACCCATGCATAAGCTACCGACCAGGTATAGCCAGGAGACTAAATGTCAGATTGTAACCCTCTAACCCACACACATAAATTTAATTACTATTTTTTAAATTTACTTTAGTGCAAACACAGAAAAAATAAAATAAACAGCTGTGTAACAACCATAGTGCGTAATAATTTACGAATGAAGCAGGAGAGAAAGTCACACTGAAGGTGCTGTTATTGACGATGTCAGTCTTTGTCTGCTACCTGTAAACCTGGACATGCTGCACATGAAGTGGTTCTGATATATCACTGAAATTTGACTGTGAAAGGAGAAGACATATTAAAGAAGAGGGACTGACTGAGGAGTGTAACTGAATAATCTGTGGATGAAGACGAGGAGGTCCCAGATATTTCAGCATCTAAAGGTGATGTGTACATGACTAATGTGATTATTATTTTTATAATATGGAAGCAGGTCAATGTGGCCCTAACTTTTAAAGCTTAACTCTCAATATGCTATTGAGTCATCTTTAACAATGTATTATTTTAAAAACTCATCTTAGCCTGTCTTTGTATTAAAAAGACAAAAAAGGTAAAAGTAAAACCTCCTGAAAAATATAGCAACTATAGCTGTCAGATAAATGTAGTGGAGTAGAAGTGTAAAGCAGCATATACAGTTGTTTTTATTTTGTTAACTTAAGTACTGCACTTACTAAACATACTTACTTTTTACCACCTGTGTTTGTGCCATAGACTATATGGTTTGTGCATAGTTTAGTGGCGCAAATTTGTAATAATCTTATCTCCAACATGCAGCGAACCTGAGCTTTGGGGGCCACTTTGCCAAGTTTGTAACCCAGCCTTGCCTGCTCCACAAAACATACACACATGCATACACACATAGCACAAAAATAATCAAGACAAAAGTAGGTCACATGAACACATTTATTTGTCTTGCATATTCATAACTGAATCAAAAGTCTCTATCAATCACTATCATTATGTTGACTTGCAAATAATGGAACTGACTAATCGGCACACAGGCTACCCTTAAGCAAAGAAGGTAGATGAGGATGGAAGAGTGGAACATTAAAGAAACAATAAAATAAGGAGAGCAGAAGCAGGTTTTTAGTGTCTGGTCTGTGTGATCTTATGTTTAGCGAACTGTACAAAACCTAAATGATTACAACAACAAATACAAATGGAGATTGTGTGACATTTTTCAGATGATTGTGTGGAGATTAGGTTGTGCATAGGTCCCTGATCTGCAGCAGTGGCAAACCAACACTTTCTGTACCACAGAGCCATGGCTAAGCAAACAAACCAGGCAGAGCTGTACTGTTCTGAAGTAGGTGAACCAGGGATGGACAGTATGCACTCTACTACTTAATGATTCTCATCTGAACAGAGCACACCATGGCTACCCTGTTTCCAAGCTGTAGTCTGTAGGGTTTGAAAATGTTCTTCAGTTATTTAATTAACTTAATATTAGTGTGTATATTTACTGTCAATTGAATTATCTTATGTATGTCATGACCATGTGGAGTCATTTTGGAGGGTTTTTTTCCTGGTTATTTTCAATGGTTTTGTGAATGGACATGGAGCTGTAAGGTAGCATTTCTCAGCTTTAGCTGCATTGTGCTTCACCAAGTTAAAATATTCTCCATCAGCAGCCACTATCTAAGAGGGAGCCCATATGTGATCAAATGACTGTACACTTTTCACTGTCCTAAACCCACATCCTCTGCTTTTAACAAGTTGTATGTACACCATTTTATCAATGTTGTCCCCTTTAGACAGCTAATGCCAAAGGCACATTGTCGGTGTTGCATTATGTTTAGGTAGTTTTGGAGGTCACGATTAGGTTGATTTTATTTGGTTAGGATTAAGATAAAGTTTTCATGTTGTAGCTTATTTTATTGGAAAACCCCTTTCTAGTTGAGTCCACATGGTCCGCTCATTTACATATCAAGCAAACAGCATTATGTTTGTTTTTAGAATTTACCGCTGTGCTCAGTAAATCAATGTTATCTAATCAATAGCCTTGACTGGGCTGCTTGGGATACTGGCTCTCAGAAACACTCTGTCTGAATAACAGAAATTAGCACTCCCCATCATTGCACTTACAAGACTTTGAAAAGGAGTCATGTTTTTATCTCACACTGCATCTCTAAAAGCTACTGTAGAAAGGATGTCACTAGTGTCCCTATTGTGATAATTTTCCACACACTGTCGTAGCTATTGAATGTCACTGTCTTTTTAGTGCAGTGGCGCAGCTGAAAGTGATCCAAGCTGAACTCACTACTGAACGTAACTGAAGCCACTGCTTTCCACAAAAAGTTTCATTTGCTGAAAAAAAAGACAATGTGGCACAGTGAGGTTAGAACCTTTAGCTATATTCAATGAAAACTAGATGACTGACACTGAAGTTGATTAGAGAACAACACAAAAGCTGTAAAGGTATGCAAAACCTCAGAACCTGAGGATTTTAAAATATTCACTAAACAAAGATAAACCAGAGAGAAAATGAGAACAAACATTTAAAAAAAAAATAATCTGGCCAGATAGAGGATTTTTTTTTTTTTCACCTTCTCATAAATTGTCTATTTATGAAAAGGCACCCATTTTAAAAATATACTGAGATGTTAACAACAACCAAGTTTCTTTTATAAAAATGCAATACGTTTTAACTGACATAAAAAATATGACATCTTCATCTAGAAAGAGTGAGTAAGTATATTTGGAAACAATATGATTAATGATAATTCATGTTTCACCTTGTGATTGCACACAGTCTGCAGTAAGTCTCTGAGTGATCTATAGTGCACACAACTGAATGTGGGTTTCACAAATCAGTGCAAAACTGATCTAATAAAAATATCTCCACTGAAGATTACACAGAGAGCTAAAGAGGCATCAGATCCTTTCATTCAAGTGCCTTGAGAATGCCTGTAGAGGGCACACTTGTACTACCTTCACACAGCACACATGCAAAAAAAGTCACACAGTTGCGCTCCCTTTCTTCATCTCTCATCAGTGGTGTGGGATTTGCAGGACTGAAGGCCAGTAGAGTGAGCCTCCTCCCTCAAAGGATACTTTACTTGTGCATTACCCCTTGGTCTTTTTTCAGTAGTTGTGTCCACCTTTCCTACTGGTTATAAAAACATAGACTCCAAGTTAATTGCTGAAGTTGGGAGCATGGCAACATCTCTACCACAAGGTCTGACGAGTCAAGAAACACATGTGACGGGTGTGAGACAAGCCAACAGTTTATCCAGATTATCTAAACCACTTTATTTTGAGGTAAACTAAAACACACCTTTACAGGGAAATATGTGTGCATACAGCTGCAGTAAAGCGTTTAGTATGCTTGAAAGTGTTCCCTCCTGTTCTGAATGCCTACACTTAAAGGTGGGGTGAAAAGCCTACCTCCCTCTATGATCTCTCTCCAGGTCTTGATGAAATGAATTTTGCAAATACAGATGACACACACTTAGTTGTTCATGTGAAAAGTGGTGGAAGGAGAAGTGTGAAGAATGAAAAAGAAGAACGTGAGAGAGAAATTTTAACCTTGTCTGCTCTCACACCTCCACACATCTGGTCAATTACTGTGGAAGTGATTGGCTGTTTGGAAAAGTTGTTGGATGCTGGATCCCCTCCAATTCAAATCAGACCCTTTGTTTGAAGCATACTGATGTCCTCAGGAGAGTGGTGTGTCTGTAAAGTGGGATAGATTTTTGGTGACTAACCCGCTGGTTTGTTTCCAACCTGTCTGACAGCTCTTGTTTCCTGACCTGGTCTTCTTTTTATTGATGTCACGTGTTCCCAGATCTCAGCTACTAAATTGGTAAGTACAATCATTTATTTTAGCGAAATAATGGTCAAAACTACCAAACAAAACCCAAATTGTAATAAACCGGAATTATCCTTGAATAAGACACTAGTCTCACAGAGACCAAAACAGATGGTGTTTGGGTGCTCTTCATCGGTCACATTTCTCAGCCAGATTTGGAGGTTCCTTTGGACTGGGTTAGGCCTCATCAGCCTGTTACAACACATTTAGTTTAGAAATGCATGACATTGAAGGAGGAGCCCCAGAGTGGGGACACAGGCAGTGTGCGATGACCCACACACGAGTTATCAGTGAACTACTACTACTTTACTTGTGCGCTTTCTGTTCTGTCACATGTCTTTATACATCTGCACCTTTTTACATTGTCTCCTTATGAGTATATAGTATTGTTTCCTAAGCTGTGACATTTTTTAAGACTTTTTTATTCTAGAAGTGTATGCAAACACTGGTCTATCAGTGAATACAGTAGCATTTGCATCCCTATTATATTCCTTTTTCACCTTCAAGACCCTGCTTCCATTTCAGGTATTATAGAAAAAAAGGAGAGACACAATTTAAAACAAAAAAAACAGAAACATACATATAAGAGAACATACATTGTTGAAGCACTGAGACAAATATCAGTG